ATTATTTTAACGTGAGCAAAGCAGTGAACAAAACTATAAATAAATCATCTATTATCTAAGAAACCAGTTTCGAAAAAACCAGTATCGATTCTAGGCAAGTAGAAGAACTCTTTGAAGGTCATCCTGATATAGTTGCGTTTGTTGCTACGAATTTATACCTGTGATTCTGCAACACATAATGATACAATTCTAAATAAGGAATAATATTCAAAGATTTTATCAGATCTGTGACATGGCATATGAGAAACCACATTTAAATAATAGTTATATCAAATTGAACATAAAAACTAACTAGGCACTTTTGTACTCAATTGTATCGCCGTTACACAATGGTGGTCTTCAGTCTATTGAGTTTATTCGTAGTGTAAGGTACGAACTCTGTCTCGAAGCCATCGGTTGTTGTACATGAATAATATATCAGTATTAGTGTAACTAAAGAGCAAAGGTAGATACAAAATAATGTTTTGTGATACAGTGATAAGAGCGTATGTTATGAGCGTTACGAGTATATACGTTATTTTATTAGTGTCTGCAGAGAACCCTTAGAAATGCTGTGTGTTAAGCGATACGGACATACAAAATTGCTCTCAACTGGAGTGGAAAATCTAACTTTAAATTGACTTATTCTCATCGAATTGCCGAACAAAATTAATATAATATGTTCACATTTACCAATATTGTAATTAAAAATGTAACTAAACAAAACGTGGTCGAGTTGTTATCTCATATTTCTATGCAAGGCTACTTTGGATTTCAAAGTTACATTTACATTACACAGTTACGTTTTATATATCTAGAAAATGTGACAGAAACTGAGGTATTTTTGAAATTTTCCTTGCTTTATGCATAAAGAGTGACTATGTTACTTTGAATATAAATCTTTTTGAATACCTTTAAATTTCGATGACCGGTATGTGAATGAGTGACAAAACTTCACAAAACTTGTTTGTTTTAGGCCACAGACTAAAAAAGTATTAGGGATTTGTTAAAATACTTTGTTGTTTTACGCAATATTGGTCACACCGATTGAACATTCAGGCCTCTAGGTATATATGTGTATATAATATACTAGCTGACCCGGCAAACGTTGTATTGCAAAACAAAAAAAAATTAGGGATGGGTCACCCTTACCATTTAGGGGTATGAAAAATAGATGTTGGTCGATTCTCAGACCTACCCGATGTGCACACAAAATTTCATGAGAATCGGTAAAGCCGTTTCGGAGGAGTACGGGAACGAACATTGTGACACGAGAATTTTATATATAAGATAAGCAGGGACGCCGGGTGCGGGTGGGCAGAGCGTGCGCCGCACTCGGGTGACAAGTGGACAGCAAGGGGTCGGCAAAAACCGAAACGAAAGAGAATCATTCTCATAATTTGCATGTCTAATATATTTTAATTATGTCATAGTAGTAGATTGAACAGATAGTAGGCTAAATCTCCTTTCTAAGGAAAAGTCCAGAAGTGGACTATTAAAGACTGCTGATGTGATGTCATAGTAGTAACATCTATTGATCGGTGTACGAAAATAAATGAAAACGTTTATAAACTTCGAATTACTTTATTAAACACAAGTGTGTATAATTTGAAGCACTCAAGAGGCGGTCGCGGGATTCCCAAATATACCATGGTTTGACGCTTCACACGCTGGTAGAGTCCTCTTGACTGATTGTGCTCATGGTACGGAGCTAACGCACGTAGAACTTGGCTAGCTCCTTCTGCTCACGAAGAAGAGGGTGAAGTAGGACCGGGAAGGGGCTTGGAACCGGCCTTTCCCGGCCCGGGATCGGACCAGGTACCGCAGGCGGCTTAATGATTTCAGTCCTCCATAAGCGACGCGACGCGCTCCGGGGCGCCTTTAGAGGCAGGGAGGGGCAACCGTGGTCACCATACTTTGGAGGGGGGCATCTGTAAGCCGTAGGGGATTTCCTTTCCAGGTCACACCTGGTTCCCCGGCTACTACCGAGACGGCGCGGCGAGCGGTTTTAAAGCCGGCGCTGACTGACGTCGCGGCAAGGCACGGTACGGCAGTGTGTCCTTCGGCAGCCAGAAAGATGCCGGGATATATGAGGCTCACGGGACGCGGTAGCACGCCACGGCAATTCGTCAAATGAATCCACATGACACGACATGCTGCGGCATGACACGACGTGCCGCGGTATAATTGTATCAAAATAAAATAATAAGATTTGTAAACTCATCGAAATAAGGATAAAGACCTTGATCAGGAATAAAATCCATAACCACCCCACCGTTTGCTGGTTCGCGGCCCAGTAGGTATATAAGCAAGTCACGGGTGTCTAAATTGTCCCGAATGGCATAGAGAAAGGGACGGTGCGGCTGTAACTTAACTTATTTTTCATTTTTTTCTTGACTCGGTGGATGCGAATGTATGGCCTTCGTTATTAATAATAATACATGATTTGCGAGACCATCCAATCAAATACAGGATTCAGTTTTTTTTGTGTTGCATGTCGCGGCGGTCTACTAAAAAAAGTAGCATCTAAACCGGTAATGCAAAGTTTAGTGGGTAAAATTGTAAAAAAAATTCATTGCCGTATTTTAATTGACGCTGAGGTGATCTTAAGAAATTACTTATAATTATTGAAGTTCTGTATGTGTCTATTTCTTTATTGCATTTGAAAAGGGTATTAAGTTAAGTCGTTAAACAAAAAGTATATATAGGTCGTACTCGTATAGATAGGTAGGTTTCGTTGAAAATTTCTTGCAGTAGTAATGCATGATAACCTCACACATCTCACACATGGTCGTCCTAAACTCGGCTCAGGCTTAGCAGTCAGGATCACTGAGCATTAGATCAACAGGCCCCTCAGTTTTATGCTGGGCCTGTTCTTTCTTACATTATGAAATTGTCGGTCACTTAATAATATGGTCTAGCCACGCCAAAGAATAAATCACCGTTTGACGATATTAAGGTCTCTGAAATGAACCAATATTTTTTATGATATTGTAGAATAGTTACATTATTAACCGTTATAGACGTTAATATCGTTTAGTTTATTACAATTATTTTATTTTAGAAGTAAATAATGGTGTGCAAATAAAATGAAAAAATATCGTGAAATGTTATGTTATTTTGTTGGAATGTCGTTTAACAGTTCACTTAAAATAAGAAATTAAATACATTCGTTATTAATTGTAACCGTCTGGCTATTTATACAAAGCGGGCAGTGATTGTTATTCCAAATAGAGTCACTATGCATACATACTTACAATAGACAAAAATTCGCATATATATTATTAAGGTTCATATATTTATTAACATGAATGAGCTTGACGTGCCCGTCTGTCTATTGTTTATTGAGTCTGTCTCTTTCTGCTGTGCCAGAAATCGTGGGTTCAAATCCCGGACAGGAAAATGAATTGTGTGATAAGCATGATCATTTGATCCATATCTGAATGTAAATTTATTTATCTTTAAGTTGCATATAAGTTGTAATATAAATAGTATGTGTCTATATAAGTTGCTCAGTATTATATTAATTTATATTTCATTATTTATCAGCCAGCTACCACAGTAGGGTCAGATGTCCTAAGATGAAGCTGTCGTACACAATAAAACATTGTGATATTTCTAAAAAGCTGGCTTGTCAGATCATGCATGATATCGCGTGAGGACGTCCCAGTTTGCGTCAGCGCTGCGTGAGAGAAGAGCTGTCCGCGGCACATTTATGAGATTTTCGACAAAAATGTAAGTATTTTCAGCGTTCGTTCGTTCGTTATAAAACATAATAACAGAAAATAATATTTTTTTATAAAACATTTATTATATGTATTAAAATTATTTGGACATGAATTTGATTATAAAATAGCGCTAAAAACTGGTTATTTTTATAATTTTGAAATACTCGGTGTCACTCGCCATTAAGATTAATCTAACGACACTATCAAGCCAAAATCTATAAAGCCGTTTAGGTGTACCCTAAACGATACTATACGAGTTTTATACATACATTTATACACTAAAAGTTGATTATGTTAAACCTCCTTCTGGCGCAATTGGGTAAAAATATTAAATTTTTTGTTTAAAAATAGCATTGAGCAGATATGAGACAGCAACCCTAGCGAATATTTAAATTTTACATTATGTATACACTATAGAAGGTTCATTTCCTAGGATAATTACCGGAAAATTCATTTTTTTTTATTCATCATTTTCATTCATTTTCAATTTTTTTGGTTAAAAATGATATCACAATAAGTAAACAGAACATTTCACCAAAACAAATTAATAAATACCGCATACGGTCAAAAACTGCAATGTCATTAATCAAACACCCGAAGCGCGCGGGGCCCTTCGGCCGCCAACTTGTGTTAGTGTGCGTTAACTGTTTGCACGGAACACACATGTAGTTATTACTTTTGTGTGATACCTACCTTACGATCTCTCTTACGCCCTGTATGACTCTTAAACGCCAATTATGTTACCACAAAATACTTATACCTTCACTGAACTAATAACTAATTACGTCTGTGATATTGCTATGTCAATAGAGAGCTGTTAGATTTCCACGATTACAACCAAGTTTGCGTGTTGACATTTTATTGTTGTTTGTTTGTTTTGTTGAGTCTAGTGTAAATAGATGGGGCCCGGTAGCGACAGATGTTTACCCGCGGTCGCATCCTTCTGCGAGGACTTCTTTTCGCAGAAGGAGGCGATGGAGAAGGCAGCATCAGCGCGCCTTCCAGCGTCTCATGCCGCCATGAGTGTGATCGTGGGTGGACGGGACGGGGCTTTCCCTTTACCGCACCGGCCACAAAGGTCAACTGCGAGGAAGTGTTTGTGGATCCATACCAATCCATCAGAAATGCTTCTATAATAATCATAGAATTACATCACGCATCACGTCCCTTTTAATTACAATAGCATTCAATCCAGCACAATAATGTACATTCCAGATGAGCTGACTTCTATAGACGAAACTACCCTTTACGCAAAACGGGTCCGGCCGCAGTCCTTTCAAGCCGACTACGACCATGTCTCACTACACTGCTAATTCTGTGGGTGAGCCTACTGGGGGACTCAGCGTTCTGTTCACGGTGCTTTGTGTCGTGGACCTGTTCGGAGTGTTCCCTGTCATCACGCTACCCAAAAGTGTAATTTCTTGCGGTGAGTAGGTAGCTTTCTAAACCGATCCAGGTTCAATGGTTAATTAGTTTAAATATTTTCATAATTGAAACCTAAATTGGTTGTTTAATGTCTAAAGTTTATCTGTCATTACGGCGTCTGTCCCCAAAACGCAAAAAAAGAACAGAATTTCAATACGGTTTTCAAAAATAGAAGTTTAGGTGTTTAATTCATTAAGATTTTGCACGAATATAACATTAGTAATTTTGAAGATGTCAAAGCTATATTGAAATTGCGTGTGCCGCATTTATTTTATTCTTTAGTTTAGGTAAGGGTAGGTTAGGTTAGTGAATGATCCATATAAAGGTCATTACACAATAATTTTACGGGCCTGTTGGTCTAGTGGTTAGTGACCCTGACTGCTAAGCCGGAGGTCGTGGGTTCGATTCCCACCCAGGACAAATATTGTGTGATTAGCACGGTCATTTGTTCTGTGTCTGGGTGTAATTTATCTATAATATGTATGTATTTAGAAATATATAAGTATGTTTATCAGTGGTCTGGTTACCATAGCACAGGCTCGGCCTAGTTTGGGATCAGACGGCCGTGTGTGAGTGTGTGAGTTATATTAGATATATTACATATTATATTACGTAACCTGACTTACTCATTTTAAATAAAATGTTTATTCCAGGTATCTACGCAATTCCCCTGGTGTTGTCGGTGTTCGGCTTACAACTTTACACTGCTGTATTGCTTGGCAAAAGCTGGCTGCTGGCGCAGGAGATCACGCCGTATATTAGAGATAAAAATAGGTAGAAACGACTAAATTAAACATACACGTAGATAATTAATAACACGTAGATAATTAATAATTAGTAACACCGACTTCAATGCGCTTATTTTACGGTGAATGGTTATAAACTTAGGTACCTACGCCTTATTTTTCATCTATTAGTGGTTATTTTATTATTTAACTCCTAAGTAAAAAAGAGTTCAGAGGTAACAAACCTAGCATATCCTCCTTTTAACCGAATTAAAAAAAGAGGAGGAATTATTTTTTTCGCTACCGCCAAACCAGAACTCCGTCATTTATGAACCAATTCGGATTTTTTTTTTAATTTGAAAATTTCTCGTTGATTCTTATTAAAATCTGAAGAAAAATTACCACCCTTAAGGTTTATAGTTCATACCTACTTATGTAATAAATGAGAAAGTGAGTTTGTTTATTTATTTGTTACGCTTTCGCGCCTAAAATACTAAACCGATTTTAAAATGTCTCTTACCAATCGAAAGCTATGTTATCAGCGAGTAACATAGGCTAGGGCAAAAGCTAGTCATTAATAAAAAATACAATTTCTTAAAATGATCACGATGTTGATATGCCTATATTAATATCTTCATAATTTTGAAGTCGATTTTATATAAAAAAGTTAATTACCTATTTGAAGTCGGATACCACATAAGCTACCATTCTTTAACGTTGATTTAATGATTATAGTGTTTATACATTATTGACATTATCTTATATAGGTACATCATAGTATATTTTCTTTAATTATTAGATTCCCTTACGCGGCAGTCGCTGAACTCGCGTTCGGGTCACCGGCCAAGAAATTGGTTACCTTTCTCATCGATGCTGCAATTTTCGGCTCCGGTGTACCTAATTTAATTATTGGTATGTTAACATCCATTTTCGTATAAAATACTAATGACGCCATACCTAGCTATTGTCAAATCGTTTATATTTAATGTGGATTGACAGAATTAAAAACAAAAAAATATCTATTTGAGAATAGAGCACAATTTAGACTGTACATACCTACATGAAATAATTTATTTTAAACTTAGGGTATGAGAAGCAGTATAAACTATACTATGTTTTACTTCTCCTTGTATTTTAACTTTTGATCTAATGCTTAGTGACCCTGACTGCTGAGCTAGCAGACCCTAACTGTTAGCAACACCTTGCAGCAATGTCCAACAAAGGATATCCTATGAATGATATTATGATCATGGTAATGGACCCTTTTGCTTCTCATAGCGCCACTTCTCTGAAAGCTAGACATAATATTATTATGATTACTTCTGTACCGTGTAATTATTAACGCTAAATTATACTTCTCAGCGGCACAGACCCTTCAGATATTTTGGTGGAAGATATCAGGCGGGATGGTGAGGGTTACCTACTGTGTGTGGATGGCGGTGCTAGCATTGCTGCTTTGTCCTGTGACGTGGCTTGGCTCACCGAAAGACATGAAGTAAGTGTTTGGATGGGATGTTTACACCATTTTGATGTTGGAAATTAGTTACGTTTGTCTCCGCTACATGACGTTGAAGTATTATTTTATTTTTTGTGTTGACGTCGCCAAATAAACAACAAACAATAACTTTTTACATTAAACCTGATAATATTAATTATATCGAATCCTTAAGCCAATAACAGAGTTTCATAACGTTCGTTGCGTCATCTAAAATGCAGAATATTATCACATTAAAATTTCAATAAAAATAACTATCATCATGACGAATATCGCCCAAGTTTTACGAATTGAGTAACAAGCGATCGACTGAGAATACCGAACACCATTCCCAACCATTCCCCTAATAATGGGGGAACTGAAAGGGCCGCAACGCAATAGTGTCTCTTCAGTTGCACGTGTCACTTACCATCATGAGTGGCGGTAGTCGCTTACCGTGAGGTGAAGAATCTGCTCGTTTTCACCCTAAACCATAAAAGAAACTTCATGCACACATCAAACATCAAGCTCATCAAGACCCTTAAAATTGTTTAAAAAAAAAATGTTCTTATTCTATTCCAGACCTTTAGCTGTGTCGTCGGTATTCATAGTAAGTACGGTGGCCGTCACCACATGGACGTGTATAGTTGGAGATGATGTGTCGCCACCTTCAGCTGAAACCGTTATGGACCTGAAGCCAGATATACAGAACTATCTGATAGCTTATGGAATATTGGCTTTCCAGGTAAAAATCATTTTACCGCTACAGGTTGATTACCCCTGTAAGGAGAACTATTTGAAATCAGTCAAATCATGTAGTTTAAATCATTGAAAGTAGAAAGCAGTTTTTAATACTTAACATAAATTATTGAAATCCTCAGACACTTAGAAATATTTGCAATAACTAAAAAGGAATTATACAGTTAATTTTTTAATTACACGTTCACAAAACACTCTGTTATACAAACCACAACACCACCATTTGCAACTAGTGCATCTTCTGGGAAAGAAAAATTAAAATAAGAAATTAAATCAAAAGAGTAAGAAGCATGAAAGAGATCAGTCTGCTGTCTGGAAAGCCTTTCGTTCTGAGCGTACATTGGTAAAGCCCAAGGAGTCCGGTGTTTGGTCGTAATATTTCTGGCAAGAATTTTGTATTATATCAATTGGTAATAATTTGATAAAACTTTGAACCAGTGAGGGCATTGACCAAAAAGTCGCATTAAAAACATACCTGCATGATTAATTGATTGATGATTAGGTACTGGTGTTTCGTTTCTTATGTAAAGTTTTGTAAACGCTTTCGTAACAAATCTTCAATGTGTGCTGAACGTTCATACTGAAAACGTCTATTCTCTTCGAATATGCTTTTGACTGCTGACACATTTTCTTTCTTATCAGCTTCTATGATTCTTTTGAAGTCCAACAAATTGAGATTCGTAACGATAGTCTGATGTCTGATGATAAAGCAAGGCGTTAGATTTTATTTTTCTTTTTAATTCAGTTCGCCATTACTGTTTTTTGTTTACTAAACTATGATTACTTTAAAAAAAAAGAACTTTATATAGGTATAACGCTATAAATTCCAGTTCGATATACACCCAATGCTGTTAACCCTTCAAGTGGACATGAAAGACAGTCGCAAGATCAACTTGGCGGTTTTGGGAGGGTTCGGGTTCACCGGCCTCCTGTTCACGGTCACCACCGTTCTGGCCGGATTGAGATACGGCAATGACGTGAATAATAATATTTTACAGAGTAAGTCTTATATTTTTTTATTTATAATAATAAAAGGAATTTGATATACTCGTACATAACATTTCCTAAGCCACAAAAGTTTATTATAGATCGATACAACAAATACAAAAAAAAGTAATAACACAAAAAAAAAACTGAATACAATATAAAAAAATATAAAAACTACTACATAAGTACAAAAAAAAAAGCGAAACAGATAAATCATAAACAAAATAGATATTATTAATTTTAATGCAGAAGAAACGGTCGCACTTTAGGTTTTAAGTTCATTGGCGTTAGAATATCTCGCAATTCGGAGGGTAGGTTATTTAACCTACCTACCGAATTGCAAGCAACCGCTACTTAGTTCACAGATTTCTGTGGACTAAGTAGTTTTCACATTACTTTGTACATAAGTACTTATTTGTATGACCATGTTCAGAATTTGACAATTTGCCAATCAATTAAATATGTATATATTTATATTGTATTCTCCAATAGCTACCTATGTTGCTATTATAAAATTACAGTAGCACATTTATATTATATTCTATAGGGGGGAATCATTTAGTCGTGGGAGAAACATCTCTCGGTACAAATGGGTCGGCTCGACCGAAGTAATACCACGGCTTTACAGATAACTGGTCTTAAGCTATTCTTTTGTTGCTTTACATGGAGTGAGTGGAGGCGTCACTTACCATCAGGTGACCTAATTCCTTGTTTGATCTCCTGTATCATAAAAAGGGAAACATTTAATCAGATAGTTTAGACCAGGGATTCCCAAACTACTTTGGACAAGAGACCCTTTTTCCAAAATAAACTTGATACCTTAGACCCCCAAATTACCAAATAGTATAGCCAAATTACTTTAAAAATCCTGTGTAGTTTTTTCTTATTGATACAAAATACTTACATTACTTACCAATTTAAAAACTTTGTCACTGGTTTAGTAAGTAAACTTGACATCATTTCCCAATAAAAATTTAACAAATTAATGGGGATCGATTTTTAGACCTCGTCGACCCCAAAAAATATTTTTCGTTTATGTTGACCCCTGGGAAACCGGTATCGACCCCTTTGGGAATCCCTGGTTTAGACTATGGGAAAATGTTAGTTTATAATTTTTTTTTGTTATATTTTCAGCGTTACCACCGACAATACCCCTCTACATGGTGGCCCTTCTAGTCACTCTGCAGCTCTGCCTATCGTGTGCCGTAAGCAACTCGCCCCTTTTTCAACACATCGAAGACTACCTGAAGGTTCCCAGAAGTACGTATTTTAAACTGGTGTAGGTACCTTCTCGCTCTAAAAAAAAGCATTTAAAATAGATTCTACCAGCTTCAAAAAATCCTGCAATAGCGAATAATAATAACAATACCTACATAATAGAATTCATAGTTTGTTTTGAGCAAATGTGTAAGCCTTGGCTCTAAAATTTGCTAAAACAAAACAATACAGTATATGAAGTAGATGTTCGCTTGTGAAAAACAAATAATAAAACTTGTACTCTAAAGAATAATTTAACATCGAACTAGATGATCTAGTTAAAAAGTAATATATTTAGATTCCACATTCTAGGTTCTTGAAACAAACAAACCCATCAATGAATCATTCTTTAAATAAAATATTTTTTTCAGATTTCTGTTTCCAACGCTGCATAGTCAGGTCCAGCATCTTGCTTTTAGCTGTACTACTGGCTGAGGCAGTGCCACGATTCGACTTAGTGATGGGTTTAGTCGGATCCACTCTAACAGGCCCACTCATGTTCGTCTGCCCTCCGCTGTTCTTCCTTAGGTTATGTTATATGAAGTCTCAAATGAGATCGGATATAAAGGGGAACCGCGTACGGACCAATGATGCAACACATACGAGTACAAACGCTATCGACCTGCCAAAAAACCCGCTCATTTCTCTTACGCAACATACTACGTATAATACTTTTGAGAATGCTACAGAAATAGTCGACGAATATGGCATAAAATGGTATGATGTTGCATTAGCCTTAGTAGTGATGATTATCGGGATGCTTGCAACATTATTGGCTACTTACTCGAGTTGGTCTGATTCCATAGAGTATGCGAGTTTTAGTCCGCCATGTTTAATGAATGCTAGTGAGGCTGCCAGGGCCTTCCTTCAGGCACCGGCGCTTAACGTTTGAGGTTCAATTATCTACGATTTGTACAAAGTTTTAATCAACAATCAACAAAGGAGTCCATGATTAACTTATCATTTAATCGAGAATCTCGTTTATATTTTAGTAGTTTTTTTTAAAACATGTAAGAATCGTTAAATGCAATTAATACTATAATATATTATTAATACTATTACTATAATATATTAGAATTTTTAAAAATACCTAATTTTTACTCAACTGCATACTTCGATATATCGTGAGACACGCGTATCGCAAAAGATGGTATCGATACGTTCTCTTTACGCATTGGAAAAAGATCTGCCGAGCATATCGAAAGTTTATATTTTTCAATACTCTGATTAAATATATTTGCTCTAGTGACTAACTCGCTATATTATAGTGATTATTGAAATCATATTTCAGTTTAAGCCAGTCAAAATTACATTTAAAACAGCATTGTTGTTGTAATCTTTATTAGTATGGAGTTATGTCGGAGATTCATCAACGGCCTATAATAGTCCACTGCTGGACATAGGCCTCTCCTTAGAAAGGAGCTTTTGGCCTACTATACCACGCTGGCCTAGACGGGTTGGTATAGGGGTTGTTTCAAGTTTTCCTTCTCTTTGCAGTGCTGTTGTCCTGCGTAGTTTACTCCCTTAGTCGGCTCTTACGACACCCACGGGATGAATAGGGGTGGTGACATTCCGTATTCTTAATCCGTCACCACACGGTCAAGATAAGATTAACCAGCGTATATGTATGTAAGTTAAAAAAAATTGTCATTGTTACTAAAATAATTGAGTGCGTGTAAACTCAGGATAAGAATTTATATTCAACAGATGTAAATAAAATTGCACATTTTTATTTGTCTTTTATTCAACATACAACAAAAATACAATAAATAAATTTCAACAACATTACGTCAGTCGTTAAGATTAAGCCCGATACATTTAGAAATACATCGTTCAGATATTTAGGTATATTACAATCACCTTTCCTTGTCTTCTATAACAACTATATAATGAAAACAGAAGCATATATTATATTTTGTTTAACTTTTAAGAGCCGAATTTAAACGAATTGACCATCCTGTTGGAAATGACGCGAGCAGATCCTTTACGATATATTCCGAAACAATTAGACCGTGATGTGCAAAAACGATAAAAAATTCACAAACTTGTCAGTTTAATTAACGAATTTAAAAAAAAATGAATTATCAAAAATTATCTGTATTCATAATCTTTCCAGAAAACACCCTTTTATAAGATTTACTTCACTACGCAAATGAGATTTTTCACAATATAAATAATAATTGGGCATTATTAATTTGTTCAATTTCTTGGATTTTTGTTTAACACGGTTCAAATTTTTGTCATTTTTTTAAATTAATTTTAGCAGTTTCACAAACTAATTAACGAAAAGACTTTTAATAAACTTCCTTATGCAATTTTTTTTTTTATTTATTGCATTTTTCTTCAGGCTTGTAATTAATACAAGATAAATAAATATATTAAATCCGCATTACCATTTAAACAGGAATTATGACCGTGGGCTATATATATATATAATAAATCTTTAAAATATATTTCGTGTAAGTATAGTTTCGCTCGCGTTGTACGACACTTACAAATAATCAAACATAATATAATTTGTAAATCATAAACGTGAATATTAATGTGTCAAAATTATCTACACCATTTTCCTTTTCCACAAATAAAAATTATATTATACAGGTAACTACTACAAATAAATCCTAGTTGTGGGGCCTACTTATGCAGATTATTATGACAATGAAATCGTTAACTGTCTTCTATTTTACACGGTATCGCTGCAATAGGGCTGTTATAGAATAGCTAACTTTATATAATATTATATAGTATTTGTTTTGGAACGTTCGAACTAGTTTATATAAAAAGGTACTTTATTTTCTCACTAATAGATTGATTGTCATATAATCGAGAATCGGAAAGTAGCTACACATAAAAAAATCTAAGCTAGGTGTTTAATGTAAGCGTCGAGAAAATCGATGCAATATATTGTATTTGAGTTAAGCCAACAAGATAAATTGTATTAAAATAACTACAAAGCGTAAAGCAATTACTTTTAATTAAGCAAGAAATTTATTAATTGTGTTATATTTCAAATTATTTTTTTGTCTAGCGGTAACTAAAATACAAACGATTTGGTGTTTACTGCAAGTTTGTTGTTTTTTTTTTGCAATGGCTGATTAGAAATAAATGATTGTTTTATTAAATAAATAAATAATATATAGATAATATTTGCTATATCTTTTATATTGTTTTAACACCTGTAAGTAAACCTTAAAGTAAAAAAAATAACACCGAGGGTTATATTTGGAATATCCCTTACGATTATTGTCAATACAGAACACTATAGTTAAAGATTTAAAAGCAATAGGATATTATATACGAGAGCTGACAATCAAAGTCTTACAATAATCAATATTTCATGCTATTTGTATATTATTCGAAGTGTGCTTTTATGTACTTACTGTGTAAGTACTTACTGTGTAAGTACATAACATTTAAGTACTAAAGACTAAGAATAGACACATTTTTGTTCTAAGATGGTCACAAATTCTTTTGAATTGCGATTGATTTTATCTCCGATTCAGAGAAAATTGAATTCTGAAGAATCTACACACATACACTTCAAGGGGTCTAATGACACTTGCATGAGACCCCATGTTTCTCGTAGTGACAAGATATATCACTTGCGTTGCATTACTGAAAGCAATTTTGCACTATGTGTAAGATAGCTTCATGTGTTCGACAAACTATAATAAAAAATAGTATTTTTGTAGTTATTATTAAGCGTAAGGTTTAACTTTCAGCACTTTCTGAAAAGTAGCATCACCTTATTGCATTTTTAATCAATTAACATATAACTTAATTCAACTGCGCTAAAGCAGGAAGTACTAATTTAAGACATAACCATTGTGTATCAATCTCCTGCGATAATAAGTCTGTACGAGCAGACTTGCAGAACAGCGACTCTTATCCTCTAAGGGGAAGACAGAGACGAATTAAATGCACACATTTTACCGATTATCATTTTATTCCCATATGTAATAGGGGGCAAGCCTATTGCTGTCAACCTAGGGATGGAAATAAAGTTACAATCACATGTGAGAAATCATATGATTTGTAAATCAAAGATCCACACCTGTGACTAATTTACAAAACCACTGCGACTTATTATTATAATTACGCTAGCGCAAGACTCGCGAAAAGTCATTGATAAAAATAATTTTGATTGATTTGAATGGTATTTATCTTTGTAGAAGCCCAAAATCGATCTAAGTGGCGTGCAATTGGAACGGCCTATGTACAGCAGTGGACTGCGATAGGCTGATGATGGATGGATGGTATTTATCTTTGTCTATGACGAAATCATAATCACATGTGAAAACGCTTTGACTAAAGCCAATCATTTCACCAACTGAATATGATTTAAAACTAGCAATAATTTCCATGTCTACGGCGAGTACATATATTTCTAAAGAAAAACACATATATCTCCAAATACACACAAACCATAGATAAAATACATCCAGACACAGACCACATGATCGCGCTCTTCACACAAAGTTTGCCCTGGGTGGAATTTAGGTGAAGATGGAATGAATGCATGCAGTGGTAGGTCGGACCAAATGTTTGTAAAATTTTCCATGTGTTATATGTTGGTATTTCCAAAAAAAAAGTATACATGTATTCTATCAGTCAATCTAGCTTTCATAATAGAAGCTCTGCTGAGTTTAAAAGACGTAGTGTGTTAGATGATCGAAATATAATTATAATTAAAATTATAATAGAACTACTAGACTAACAGGCCCGCAGCCTATGATATATATAACTAACTATCGTTCAGATACAGATTTGTATATCACGCCCAGTACATATATTATGCCACAATACAGTGTATTTCTTTCAGTGAATCAATATGTAGTCGAATCCACGAACTCAAGGAAACCGCTGTCAAGCAAATTCTTTCGTTTATCACTAGGTGACCCACTCTCCTAACTTCAGGTGTGGGCGGGCGTTATATAAAGATCGCCTAATTATTCATTAAATTTTAAATGTTTTGTATTATTTAATTGACCTATGTATTTGTCATATAAACAAGCTATTCATTATAGGTATAAATTTACCTATAATGGTATAAGTTTAACAGTTCATTGACTACTCTTTCATAGACATAGACATGGGTAGCTTTATGTTACCGTTTTCATATATTTTTTTAATTTATAACGCCTATTGTTTAAAAAGTGTAGTTTTTTTCCTTTCTACATGTGAAATTCTAAGTTTCACATTCCTCCATGTGCGAAAAGTGCTTAAAAAAAGGGTGTCTAGGGGGTCTAGTGTCCTTTTAAAATTTCAGCACCATTTTCAAGTACAGAGTAGAAAGTTTAAATATCTTTATTCCAAATTGACAGTCGAGTACTTTTTAAACAATTATTTTGCCTAGTTCTTCTAAAAATGATATCTTCTCCTGTCTCTCCCATTATTATTTTGTTTCCGTTATACATATAAAATTACGTTACGGATTGGCCCATTTTTTACCTAGTTCGCAATGAGTAGATAAAAATAATGGTTGTGTATTAAATGTAACTTAAGTTCAATAATTTTTAATAATAAATTTAAATACCATACAATTACAATGTTTGCGCTTTACTCACATTTCTAAAACATAATATCATTACTTTTTATGCTAGATGCATTATGCTTTGTTTCATTTGTTATTAAGTATTGGCACGAAAAAAACTTATGAGAAAGGCTCTAACTTTAAGCTAACTGTCTAATATTCACGTTTTTAAATAGAAACAAGAAGTAAATTGCTGGAGTGTGTTAATCCCTCCCTACTCTTCCCCCCAAGGTATACATTATTATGGTCGTTACTTATAATATAAGTACATAAAACTAAACTCATTTAATATCTTAAATTGCTTTTAAAAAAAACCTCGTAACATAATAAGAATATGTAGGCACAAAACAAATCGATACGTTAAAGAAATAAAAGGCAAATAATTACCTTAAACAGAGTAGGCCCAATACGAATTCACATCAGTACAAAGTTACAACTCACAACAAGATCTAAACCTATCTATTCCTTTTGCAACACGAGTTTGTCGCCAAACAACCTCTTGATTTCCTTTTTATCTAACTTGCCCATAGCGTTTCTGGGCATCTGGTCGATTACAAGCATCACTTTAGGCAGCTGGTACGGAGCCAATTTCTTCCCGGCTTCGTCCTTCAACTCTTTGAGGGTCAATTTCGTGTTGTCCTTCAGGACTAGAACGCTGGCGATTATTTCTCCGTAAGTGTCGTCTGGCATGCCTAAAACGGCTACGTCGGCAACGTTCGGATGTTCCAGTATAACGGACTCTACTTGTAATGCACTTACTTTGTAGCCGGAAGCTTTGATGATATCTATCGAAGTTCGTCCCAATATTCTGAACTTGCCGTCGGAGTACATCGCTGTGTCTCCGGTACGGAACCAACCATCTGGTGTGAAGTCCGTTGAGTCCAATTTGGGTGCTTTATTCCAGTATCTGAAATTTAAATTGAAAAAAAAAACGTGGGATGATTATCAAAGTTTAAAAGAGTATTACCGACTTCAATGTGCCCTATGCTATAATGAATTGTAATAAACTATAATATAATATTTTCGTACACCTGACACACAACGCCATCTAGTTTCAAACCATACAAACATTTGGTCCGACCCGTGAATCGAACCCGAGACTTCAGCAAAGCAGTTGCGTGCACCGAGGCAGTCTGTACTTTAAGGGTTCTTTTCAAATTTTAATGGAACCAATGGGACCAAACGGGAAGTATATAAAACAAGGATTAAAAATAACGGGGTATTGTGGTAACAAACATGAAAAAAATAAAACTGAACGGAGAAACCCCTCCATTTTTAAGTCTGTTAAAATCGCCTTACCTGGTGAATACAGCTGGTCCTTTGATGAGCAACTCTCCTTGGAATTCGTCTCCTTCGACTTCCTTGTGCCTGGTCACTATAGATTCGCCCCAATCGTAACCATCTGAATCCACGAAGAAGTCCTTAGAGGACGGTAGGCCGAGGCGGTCTAGACATATCTGTCAAAATATGAGTATGCTTCAGAACATCGTGTACGACTGGATTACTGAACTGATATTAAGATAAATGAAATTCTTCGGATAGAAGGATTGGGTGTAGCATACTCTTGTTAATTTAGAACATTTTTTTAATTTATATGATCATATTGTAATAGTAATATTGACATTTCTTCGGAACAGGTTTTCATATAATATATGTTGGTGAAAAGAAAAATTTCTAAGTTAAAAATGTTTGCATAGATATTAGCGTCTACCAGATTATTTTCATAGCGTCACTAATCAATAAACTAACAGTACTCCACAGGTACGTGAAAGTTACATACAATTATATGCATTTAGGTAATATATGAAATAACTGACAGCTGTTAGCGTAGAAACGGGCCTGGTAAGAGGACACGGATCTGATGGGAGGTAAAATAATGTAATTTAGTAATTATTTACAAAAATGCTTTTTAGGTTCCGATATACAATCAAAATTAGTCCATTAGTTACCCCCTGGTTATACATTTGTGATCAATATTTTATAAAGTCAAGTAAAACTAAAAAAAAAAACAAGTATAGAGTATCGAGACATGTGTTACACTGACCTGCGTCTCCGGCGCGGGCGCCTCGACGGTGAGGAGCGGCTCGAGCAGGGCCCCGGCGATGCGCGCCGCCACGCCGGGCAGCGGCCGCCCCACGCAGCCCACGGCGCGCGCCTCCGCCGGCCGGTACGGGTTGCTCAGCGCCATGCCCACCTCCGACATACCGAAGCGCTCCAGCAGCCGCATGCCCGAGATCTGACGCGACCCACAGATTGACTAATCGAGTAGACCGTACGGGAGTTCGAGTTACCGGCGAACGGAATCAAAAGCCTCCATAGGTTACGATGACCGCTGATGCTTATTTACCACCACAGAGGTATAAAAAATAATCTCGTCTATTATTCTTGATATCACTATTATGTCAGTTGTTATTTTACGCTGCCTTTATCTCCGAGATAGTGAAACGTTGCGTAACGATGATAGAGCGCTGTATTTGAAGATTTAAAGGCTCTAAACGAATACTATTGTATGGATCGGTCTAATATGTATACATCACCGAGAACTGCGACCTATAAACTTCTTATTTCGTGTTTCTAATTTTGACAATGACAAAATTCCATACAACCCAATCCCTTACTTTAGCCCCTTAGAAGTGAAATTACCAGATATCACGTCTTAGCTGTGCTTACAAAAAAAAGCATAAGCTGTCAAAATTTCAATTTTGTACCTACATCGGTTTGAACTATACAGAGAGTTTCATTTCCTATCCCAAATACTTAAGCCACATATTCTGCCCTTCATTTCTAGGCGATTTGCAAAATATGAACAAAATATATCCAGTAGTTTAGCCACAGGACTCATTTTTGTGTTTCGTAAATTGCAACATCATGTGTACATGCAGTCATAATACATTGACCTCAGGCGGCGATCAGCTGTATACGCGGCGCGGTAATCACACGTTGCCGCTTTTACTACACCCGAATCGAACGAAATATGTTGATTATTACGTCATCACGATGCAACACGCGTTTTTAATTAGTTCATCCAGTAAGGACAGTCAGTCGGCCCTTGGCCACCGGCGAGCTTATGCTATTCCGTATCCTTGTAGATGCGCTCACGACAAATAACCGTAATAATAATATTGTTGTTGTTTATGAGATACATATTTGTTTAGAGAAGTTTTCTTGTGGTAATAATTGTTTAGTCTTATTGCTTTCGTCATAATACACGGCAATGGTGTGAACAATTAATGTTATCGTGTGCGCAAGACTTCGTAATGTAAGGAGTCCTGCTAATTTTATTTTGAAAAGTCACTATTAGGTTCTGTGTGTAGTGTAGTGTGAAACTGAGTGCATTATCAGTCTTTTAATTTTATTGGGTTATCGATATCAACATCCATAATGCCGTGAGTGACCTTCACAGCGGCGGAATATCCTGCTATGATGTTAATTTATGGAAAACTCTATCAAAACGCATCTTTTGCTTTACGGACACGTATGGAGTCAATCGTGTATGTCCTACAGACTGCCGAATTTTTGTAAGGGCGGTACAAAGATTACGAGACAACCAAGGTAACTACTTTTTCAAGGAGTGACGCGTACTGCTGGGTCGGAAGCTAGTCGAGCATTCACGAAATAAACACGTGAATAAAATCGCATTCTTTATAAATAGATTTTTAAAAGCAAGTGAAGTGATTGGTAGGTAGGTAATAAGAATGTAAAGTTCGCTCGTCGCGGCGGCGGCTGCGGCGGCGGCGCCGGCGGCGGCGTCGTTTTGATGTCGCCGACATTGCGACGCTGCCGTGTAGGTACAGTTCACCGACTCATGTTATCAATGGTGTTCTAATTCGGAAATTATTTTATTGTATTTAGTTTGTTCTAAATTTGCATTTCTGTATTTTCGTACTAATTTTTTATTTTTTTATTTTAACCGACGTATATTGAACCGTGTTATCTGTTATTTCATTTTTTGTGATATCTATACCGCCACAGTGTATATAGATAAGAAAAAAATACGATTAGAGATAGACACTAAAGGAGTTTTCTTGGGAGAACTGGGTTCACGTAGCACATTCTAAACAACTCAAAATAGGTTACCTCTTCCCACTTCAAGAAGAGCGTGGCGGGCAGCGGCGCGGAGCCGGCGCACATGAGGCGCATGCGCGCGGCGAGCGTGGCGCGCACGTAGTCGTGCGTGCGCGCGTCGCCGAACATGCGCTCGTGGTCCGCCGCCAGGCGCGCGTACATGGCGGGCACGCCGTGGAACACCGTCACCTTCGCCTCGTCGCGCTCGCCCATGCCCAGCAGCCGCGACCACACCGTGTGCGACGCGAAGTTCGACAGCATACGGATCCTTTCGAATTAACGGTAAGTCGAGCTCCATATCGCGGCATGTCAAGAGACACTTCATACGAATCTCAAATAAAAGTAAATAACTGCTAAAAGACAGCAATTTATCGTACTCAGTATGGATGACTTTAATGTAATGGAAGTTTACAATAGAGAATGACTAAAGAAAAGATAGATCGACTGCTTCAAAGAGTATTCTACTTCAATACGGTAGAATGGACAAAAAAGCATTTTGCTTCGACCCCCAAAAATTTGGGCAAGAGTGCCTTCATGGATTGTAACCGGGTCGGGCCGCAACATCGTTATTAGGCCGATTGGGGGGGGGGGGAAACAGGTTCACCCAATATAAGGCCTGGTTAGTATTTTTCTCTTAGAATAAAATCTCAGTGAATAGTTACCTGGCCCCCGCAGCTAATGAAGCAAGCATAGAGTTAAGTTGTCCGTGTATGTGGTGCAGCGGTAGAGTGTGCAGTACCACATCGTGGCAGGAGTACTGCCACGATGTGTGCAGTGCTGCTATCTGCGTCTGCAGCATGCTGTGTGTCCATACCACGCCTTTGGGCTTGCTCGTTGTGCCTGCAATGAATAGCAAACATTTATTTCGATCTTCTCGGTAGACAAGTGGTGTCATACTTGGTACCATTTGTGATTTTATAGCTGACGGTAAGTTAAATTTATACAACCTTAGATAAACAGACACGGTTTTATACAAAAATCGCTTCAAATAATAATACGCGTGAGGTCCTCATATCTACATATAATAACTATTGTCCAATCGTATATTTTAAATGTTGATTTGAACATTTCAAAACATTAAATTGATAATAAGAGACATTTCAGGTTGTAGTTTAGGATGTTACATTTAATTTATAGTCTCTGTACTTTATTACTTATCATAGCTGCGTATCGTAACTCTTTAAAGTAAAATTTATAAAAGAAATGAATAGTTATGAAACATATAAGCTCTATTTACGCTTTCAACGCATTTAGCGCAGCATACTCCAATTTTGCTTAGAACTAGATTAAAGCACATTTTTTGCTAATTAAATTGTTTAAAAATGATCGAAGTTTATAAACAAAGATTGCACTCACCGCTGGTATAAATAATAAGCGCCTCATTATTCCCGTACCAATCATTACTTTTGCCAACATCAGGCAACGTGTCCTCAGCCTTAGGCTTCAGGAAGGAGGAGTTAGGTTGGTACAACTGCGCGGTAATTTCCTTGTCTCTGCCGGTGATCAGTAACGGTTTGCTGATCTCCAAGGTAAGAGGACGGAGAACTTTTTCATATTCTTGAGTGCACACTATGAGACTGGCGAGACTGTCCGTCAAGAAATGTTTCAGCATTTCCGGAGGATGTAGAGGTGTAAGAGGAACGGCTGCGACATAACATAAAAAATAGAAACGTCGGGTTTATCTGGTTTACTGAAGAGTCAGAAAAAACTGTTGTCTCTAATAAAACGGTTTTCAAGAGTCGTGGGGAAAAATTTTTTACACGATGGTCGAGTATAATTTTTTTGTATATAAAAAAGTATAACGGACTTCGATGGGCCTTTATCATGCTTCTGTATTCTTCATCCCTTAATTTTCCATTTCTAAGAATTGGAATATTTTCTCCGAGTTTAAATGAGACCAGAGAGAATAAATATTAAAATTAATTAGTTTTATTGGCAAATGCGACGCTATTAGTTAGCTATCTTTATCGAATGGCTCCAAAATATTAAAACCGCAAAAAATTACTTAATTTTTTTTTGGGATACACGCCGTTTGGTCACATTTAAATTCGAAAAAAAATACCAACAAGGATGGCAAATTATGGAATGAAGAAAACAGTTCAATACAATCATCATCATATTAACACGGTGTTAGCGCATTAAGGCGAATTGAATGAATTATAGTTTGTGGACTGCACGGATTGCGTAGTGGTTTAAGCACCTCGCTGCTTTCTACTGCGCTGAGTGTTGTGGGTTCGATTCTCGCATGGAACAACACTTTGCGTGATCCACAAATAGTTGTTTTGAGTCTGGGTGCTCTTTGTGTCCGCTTCATGTATGTTTGTAAAGTCCCCCGTGACACAGGAATATATTCCTAATGGGGGAATTGTCTTTTAAAAAAAAAACCGTAAGTGGTGTCCAAAAGATTGTTTCTTCCATTATCAAGATGTGTATTTATGTACTCATATTATTGTCAACTCGTGTTGTATAGACTAGTATAGAGGCTTACCGATGTTGCCAGTCATCCATATCGCCCACTGCACTATGACGTGTGAGGCGTCGTTGTTGCACATGTACGCTATGGTGCGCTCAGTCTGCCCAACTACAAACAAACCATATATTTCACCTCTACGGCTCTACTCTATTGAACAGAATGTAACATTTAATACTTTTATGTCAACTATGTAGTTAGAAATAAAAAGAGCTCGTTCAATTAAAAAAAATTGTAATTTTAAATTTGTTTCAAAATTTATCTTAATACTGAAACATTGTATCTCTGGACGAGGCACATAATATGTCAACCCTTTCATCTTAAACCAAATCATTACTCAACAAATGTCAATACTTATCTGTAATTTGTACCAACTTTGTTGATATTATTTTTGCTTGTGCATATTCAAATAGTAACATTAAACCAAACTTAATAAAGCATCATACTTTGTTTTATTACATCCTAAAGGAGCTGCCTTAGGCAATAGGTACGCATTCCATAATTGGTTAGTAAAATTACACGGCTGTGCCCTGGCCCTGTGCAGGATAAAAAAACTATGAGTATCAACCGCTGCCAGCCATTTTCCCCAAGTCGTCGGTCTATTGTGCCGCAGGGCGCCATACACTACGTTTGCCTAATCGTGGACTCCATTTTAGAACATGTTGGCTCCAGCGACCATTAGTCCACCAGGAGACATGACCAGTCTACTTCCACTTGAGTGTACTGATGTCGGTTACTCTAGTCCTCTGTTAAATTGTTTCGTTTCGAATGTTATTGACTACAGAAACACCAACGTTCGCATGCTGAGCGACTTTCAACTTGTGGAATGAATTAAATCTATATATAAAAAATGGTATAGCAAAGGGCTATTACCGGCCTACATTTTGCTGATTATAATTTTAGTTCCACTTATTAAATAGAGGGCAAGTCTTTTCCCATTCAACAGGTATTTTAGGAATAAGATGGGAAAATTGATGTTCCAGTAAGTCCTCCTTGAGCAGCTCGAGCATATCTAAACCCTCTAACCTTTAACTTCCTAGCTAAATAATCTATACTAATATTATAAAGCTGAAGAGTTTGTTTGTTTATTTGTTTGTTTGTTTGTTTGAACGCGCTAATCTCAGGAACTACTGGTCCGATTTAAAAAAATCTTTCAGTGTTAGATAGCCCATTTGTCGAGGAAGGCTATAGGCTATATATCATCACGCTAAGACCAATAGGAGCGGAGCACCAATGAAGAATGTTTCAAAAACGGAGAAAATTTATTACTATTGAAAGACGCAGACGAAGTTGCGCGGGTCAGCTAGTTCTATATACAAACCAAGTTGTGCAGATATTTCAAAGCTGAGAACCGATGCGGCTTGGTAGAGGCCCGCATATGTGTAGATACCAAACTCATCCTGTAGTGCTACTCTGGTCGGGAACAACAATGCTCTGCGGAATACTGGTACTGCTCCACCTGTGTGGATATCAAGAAGAATAGCTCTATTTATTGTGAACGTATAACACAATACTTATTTGGACAAATTGCTCTGATAAAAAGGACAGAAACAATCTTAATCTGCAATAATAACTTTCTAATTCTAACTAAACCAAATGGGGATATCATTATCATCAGCCTATCGCAGTCCATTACTAGACATAGGCCTCTGCCATATGGTGTATACCCCCTCTAAATAAAAAATTCAAATCGCTACACAAATGATGGTTCTGCAGCAATAAACATAAAAAAACAACATCAAATTAGGTATCTCCACCTTCAGTTGGAGTCACTTAACAAGTGTTGTTTTTTTTAAATAAGTAGCTATGCTTCAGTTTTAAGAATGATGATAAATACTTGAAAATAAATACAGAGAGAGATAACAGAGCTAGACATTAAACAAGTACTATGAGTGCCCTCTTGTACCCATGGCAAGATACTATATACTGATATACTGTTCTCACAGTGTTTTGATGAGGATTAATTATAAAGTATGTTAAGATTAGTTTGACATTCCGATAATAAACTCTCAGAAAAATTAGAAGATGACATTGTGTGAATATACTTGAGTTATCTCCTATTTTTCTTATATAAGACATCTTTCTCAAGAAACACAAGTGTTACTATAAACAAGCATCTCTACCCATTTAAGTTGAGCTTCCTAAGAAGTTTCTCTTTACAGAACAGTAGATAATACAATTGAAACTGGCAACCTTGTGTACACAATTAGCAGATTCTACTTCTTCCTTCGTCTACTTCTTCCTAACTGAGCAAACTAATTTCATTTCATTTGCCCGCTTTAGGTTTGTATTTCGATGAAACGCATATATACATATATGAGCAATATACTACAATAATAATACATTATAATAGAATCCAAATAAAACTAACTTAAATATAACGAAAATTACAAAAGCAAAACAGGTTTGTGTTTTAACTGAAACAAATAAAGAGGCATTTCGCAAAAGCAAAAATCACTACACATCATTAGAAACAAAACAACGCAGTCACCAAGACTTTCTTGAAAGAACACTCTATAAACTAAAAAAAACACTTACCGTTTTTTATATCTCTGTTGAAACTTGTCAACAATTCCGTGTTAATTTCTTCCTTAACAGCGGTTCCAGTCACATTTCTATATGCTCCAATACCCAAAGGTTTCCTTAAAAGCCGGTTTAAAACTCTTATAGAACGGAAACTCATCTCCATAGTGTTACTTTCAACTTACAATACAGTAATGGACGTCGTAGATAAGCTTACGAACCAAACAAGTATAAAAACTGAGTTATACAGAAATACCTCCCAATAATTTAACTTAAAAAGATAACGAAGAGATCGTGATAAGGTTATTTTTAAACAATTTACAGTTCTACAAGAAACTAAAAAGCCGAACAGCTGACATCTGTCATTATGTTGGAGAGCAGTGTTGCTAAGATTATACTCCAAAGAGGATTGATTCGATAGATTGGCTCAGGTTGATATTGGATCACGGGAAAAAACAAAGGTTGGTTTTTTATTTTTTAAATCTTTATTTATTTACGGTTTTTTTTGAGAAGAATATGTCACCCCGATGATTGTTTACGATTAAATTACGAAAATAAATAAATTATACTAGTCTAGCCTACCCGCAACCTTATACTTATAATAACAATATGATTAAGCGTTCTAGCTTCATCCGACAATGGTGAAGCCAGAACGCTATTATAGACTCCCACATTAGAGCTACTAACAAAAGACTGACGCTTTACGACTCCCACACGAGCACACTCCGTCAAGATATGATACACATTCTCAATGACTCCACAGACATCGCAGTTTGGTGAATCGACTTTGTGCATCATATATCCGAAGCTGTTGAGTGGTATGTGACCAGATCGGAGCCTTAAAGCCGTTACAACTTCTTCCCTATTCATCTTGCCCTAGGTTGACATATTCAAAAAAATGCCATTTTGCTCAAGTCATTTTGTTCGAGCAGGCTCTACACTACATTTACTTAGTCGCTGTCTCCACTTTAACACACTGTCAGCTCCAGCGACCATCAGTCCGCCCAGAGACATGACTGGCCCACTTCCACTTAAACGTACTGATTTGTCGTGCAATGTTGATTACTCTAGTTCTCTGTCAAATAGTTATTAATCTCTAAAATCTCTAAAAAAAGTAAAATGTTGCTAAGATTAGCAAAAAACCAATTTAACACAATTCGATATAACCGCATTTACATATTTACGGGGACAATAGGTTCAAGAGGTAGCAGCACTGCATACACACTGTCAATTTGACAGCACGAATTTGAAGCCGAGTGAGGCTGAGCTAAGGCTTTAGGCTGAGAGTTGACAGTTGACAGCAGGGGGCTGACAGCTTTAGTTCCAGCACGATGGTTGTGGCGCTACTGTAGCGTCGTATTTCGCCATTTTGTGTGACGTCGAAAACTTGCGTAAGTGTGTGTATATCATTGACTATCAAAACTGTCATCGTTGACTTCACGTCAAGTCTTTAGAAGTTTTAAACTGAGAGCCGTTATCAATTGTGTTTTCCTCCGGTCTTCCCGTTGAGTTGAGATACTTGAGAAATACTCTGTTTAATTCTTCGTATCGGATTTGGTGATATTTGTTTCATCCATTCTCGCCATGTCGCTATACAAGTGTTGTGTTGGGGGTTGTGCTTCAACAAGTAACACTCACAGACTATTTTGCATGCCCATGAATGATCATTTACGTAATTTCTGGATGTCATTGTTAGTGCCTACAAACCCCAGCCTACTTGGACTTACTAAAAACCAGCTTATGGCAAAACGTGTTTGTGAAAGACATTTTGATGAAACACAATTTGATCCGGCTGGTGTTAGAATACGTTATTCATACCCTTGTTTACTGACAGAAAATGAGATCGCCCATGGCGTACCACTTGCGAAGGGTAAGTGCTTACTACTATAATATTGTTACATAGAGCTTCTTGTTCATGTGTCAATGTTACAACTTAATGCATGAAGCTAATAGGCTTTCACGAATCATTAAGTGAGTTCTGATATAATTTCATACAGTCAAGTTACCTTCGTTTGTTTGTTGAAAAATGGAATTAGTAAGTTTGCTACTAAATAAATACCTACATTGAATTCATTTGGATATGTTCAAAAAAATACATTTGAAAAATATTTAATAAGTATAGCTAATAACTAAATATTATCAAAAAATATTTTTTTACAGGGTGTAGTGTCTTAGATGACCATATTTACTGTCAGCGACCGGATGATGATGATTCAGTTGGAGGACTAATAACCATTAAAGGTATTTATACTTACACTTTATTTTTGTCTGGCACAATAATTAGCAGTCTTTATTATTGTGTTGGGTTTGTGTTATTTGAGTATGAATTTTCAAAAGAAAAATTATTTTTAATTTATGTTAACTACATAGTGAAAAATTTATTACAGGTGATATCTTCCAAGAGCACCAGTATTCACTTCCTTCAACAAGCAATTCTGTATTCACTTCACATTTGGAGAATCAAGGTTAGTAATGATTAAATTTTTCATTCTTAAGTTTGCTCTCTGGTTTGAATTGTTTTATTATATTTTATGGATAATATGCACCTGTAATAGCCCTCATCAGACTGTCACGAAGTCTCATTTTTATTTTAAAGATAGCTATTTTTATTCAAACTGATGTTCGTCTGTATCATATTTAATATGAGGAATATCATGTACATTATTATCGTAACAATATGATAAAACTCTGTGATAACAGCAAAATGTAGTTGCATCTTTGCTCAGACAAGTTGTTTCTCTATTTTATTAGGTCATTTCATAAATCAGAAAAATTATATCGATATCTTTTTTTTAGGAGATATATCGGGGGACATAACTTTTGAAGTTGCTGAATGTGAACAGGAAGAATCAAAGACTAATGCGCTGGGTTCAGGTATCGTACATTTATCAATGACAAAGACTTTGTGTTCCTATTGTAATACTTAGACTTGCAGCCATTTTTCTCATTGACACATTCTTATAACATAGGAATATTATCTATATATAGTATATACATATTATTTGTGATTATTAGAGAATTAACATATTTGCTATCGCCTATTTTGTCAATTTAGCCGTTATTTATGTTTATTTTACATATAAGACTAGCCTATTTAAAGTTGTAGTTAAGCCATAAATTCCTAAATTGAATTCATGATCATAATATAATTATTGACTTTGAATTTTAATATTTGTGACCTAAATGAATAAATATTTCCTGATTCGCATTTTGTCATATCTCTTTATGTTCATGTACATTCGAGTAAATTAGCAAGCAACTCGGCAGGATAAGTAAAGAAAACTAATAATCAAATGTTTTCATTTCAGCAGTGCAACCTGTTTCTGATAAAGACAAGATCTACAAATCTAAGCAGAAATCCACTTCAAGTAAGATATTACCTAAAATTAAACTTATATTTTACATGACTGCCGTAAAAAGTGCAATGTTTTTATGGTTCATGTATGTATGTATGTATATATCGCAGATAGATAGATAAGATAATTACAGCCATTATATGAATATTTCCCTAGGGATATGAGGTCTAGTAAGATAATAGACTGCACGGATGGTGTAGTGGTTTAATCGATCACTTCGCCGCTTTCTACTGCGGTGAGTGTTGTAGGTTTAATCCCCATATGGGACAACATTATGTGTGATTCACAAATTGTTGTTCTGAGTCTGAGTGTTTTCTGTGTCCGTTTCATGTATGTTTGTAAAGTCCCCAGCGACATAGGATTTATTCCTAGTGCGGCAGTTGTCTATTAAAAGAAAAGAAAAAGAAAAGTTGTACAACACAATTGTACTATGGCAATTATAATTATCTTACTAGTGACATCTCTAGTAAGATAATTATAATCCCATACGATCCCACTGTAACTTCTTAATGCTTGAACAAATCTTACTAATATTATAAAGGCGAGTTTGTTTGGATGTATATTAAGTTAATATATATATATATATATATACATAGGATACTTTTATAACGAAAAAATAGTGTTCCTGTAGGATGAGCAAAGTACCACAACAACCGCGGGTAACACCGCTGGGTGCAGCTAATTTGAACTTAAAGGGCATTAGAAAAACAAAAAATACGAGCTCATGTCTTTCCTTTGTTTTTTTGTGTTATTGTTATTGTAATACTAAATAATAATATATTTTTGTATAATTTCAGGAAAAAGTAGAGTGCCGTTAAATTCTAAAACTCGGCGCTATATAAGGCAATGCACTAAAATTGCTTCAAATACTCAATGTGCACAGAAACAAGAAGAAAATTTGGCGCTTCTATCAAACTTCGAAAAATTGGACAAGAAAGCCAAAGCATTCTTGTTCATGCAATTAAAACTTGCAACGAGTAACAAAATGGCGAGAAGGTTTACGTTAGAAGATAAGTTATTTGGCTTGGCTCTAATGAAGCAAAGTCCGAAAGGATACAAATTATTAGAGAAGATGTTTGCCTTGCCAAATAAGAGGACACTTGCTCGTCTCTCAAATAAAATTACTTTCGAATGTGGAATAAATAAAAATATTTTTGATTATATCAAAGCAACTGTGCAAAGCTGGGATATAAAGAAAAGACTTTGCTCTGTAGTATTTGATGAGGTGGCTCTAACACCTCATCTCACATACGATGAAAGCAGAGATAAAATCATTGGATTTGTAGAGATAGCAGGAGAGAGAATCCCAAAACTCGCAGACCATGCACTGGTGGTGATGATCAGAGGCATATGCTCTTCGTGGCGACAAAGTGTAGCATATTATTTTTGTGAAGGAACAATTTCTTCAACAAAATTGATAAGCATTTTAAATGCCATAATGCCTATGCTGTCAGCAACTGGTCTCAAGCCATTGGCGCTGATTTGCGATCAAGGCTCTACATTCCGGTCCTGCTTTAAAATGCTAACAGATGCAACTGCTAGACTTTATAGCAGTCAAGGAAGAGAAAATGGTAAGACTTCTTCTCTAAATACTAATATAATGGGGCTGAAAAGTTTGTTTGTTTGTTTGAATGCGTAAATCTATACCTCCGATTTTAGAAAAAAAATTACACTTTACAGACCATTTATTAAGGCTTTAATTTTAATACCATCTATTAGTTTTTAAATTATTCAGTAAGAAATCGGATTCTGTTATGTTTGGAAGCCTATATCAAAATAGCTATTTGTATAATGACTTATTATCGACGCTGCGCCATATTACATTTTATAGTTTAAGTGTAAATGTTTCTCTGAAATGTTTTCAGATTATTTTGCCTTTATTTTTCAGTTAGAAATGAAATGTCAAAACATTTCTGGTTTTTTATTATGTACCTATATGGCAAAACAGTCTAAAATATTATTTCTAAATCTTGTTTCAGATGGAAGAATTCGTATAGCAGGACAAGACTTATTTTTGTTACACGACCCTCCACATCTTCTAAAAAGTATCCGGAATAACTTTTTAACAAAAGATATTCTGTTTGAGCAAAAACGAGCATCATGGGAGGATATTTTATACATTTATGACTTGGACAGCAAGTCGGGTCACACAAGAGCGTTACCCAAGATAACTTCTCATCATGTTGCACCAAAAAACAAAATGAAAGTGAAAACAGCCACCCAAGTGCTCAGTGCACGTACAGCTGCATTGCTTAATTATACCGATGCTCTTCGTAAGTAGTATCTTCTATATCATCATTTTTATTTTAAAAAATAACAATTTTTTTAATTTGTGTACAATACCGATTTATAAAAATTAGTTTTTCTATATTTTAATTCTGTCATATATTTTATGTCTTGAAATTTAAAAACTAATTGTAATTTAACAACATAAAGTTTCTGAAAAGGTATTATATCTCAGAGTAATCATAATAATATTTCAGATAAGCGGCTCAACAATCCATTACCAACAATGGAAGCTACTGCAGCAGTGGTCACATTTTTTGATGACCTGTTTGACAGTGTCAACGGATCTCCAGGTGGAACTAAAGGCAAATTACGCTGTGCCGTCAAGCCCACTTCACCACATAAAGCATTTTGGCAAAAATCCATTACAATATTAAAAAATATAAAATATATTGACACCAAGAGTAAATTGGCAATACAGGCTGGTAAACCTAGATATGTGCGCGTACCATCCCTAGAAGGATGGATAATTACATTGAAGAGTTTTCTTGGATTAACAAAATTATTATTCTCTGAATATGGGGTAGAATACTTTTATCCCAGGTTTTTAAACCAGGATCCCCTGGAAAATTTCTTTGGTCGCATAAGAGCCATGAATTATCGGAATAACAATCCCGATGCTAATACATTCATGTTCTCATTCAAATCGCTCGTCATATCAAATATATTAAGCCCTCACTCAAAATTTTCAAATTGTGAAGAAGATGATGGTGACACACTGATAGATTTAAATTATCTTTTTAAGTCCCAAAATGAAAATCAGGACAATATTTCATTAGTCGACCCTTTATTTGCACCATCATCTTCAAAGTGGCCTTTGGAGTCAGAGGCCACTGAATTAGATAAAACTGTACATGAGAAAGTGAGGGTTCAAATATCGGCCTATACCGCTGGATACATATGTCGAAAAATATCGAAAAAATTTAATTGTAATGCATGTGCAAAAACATATATTTCTAAAGAAATCCAGGGTATTCATTTATATATAAGTTATAGAGAATACAAAAGACTACAAAATAATAATTTGGCCTATCCAAATGAGAAAATTCTTCGACTATATAGAGAAAATTCGCAATCAATACACAATTACCTTAACGAACATGGGTATAAAAATCACATTAAAAAAAATATTATACATAATATCAGTAAATGTGACATGTCTTGGTTAGGTTGTGAAATCCATTCTTTAGATGTCATAAACTTTTATGCATCATTAGTCAACCGCCTGCAATGCCACAATTGGTGCAATATAGCCAATAAGATTTTAAATGGAAAAATCGAAGAAAAGTACGTTATGAAAATGCCAAATATGCAGCAACAATTGCTGAAAAAATATAAAAGCCATAGAATAAAACGAAAAATACTCAAATAAATTTTAATTAAATGTGTTGTTTTATTTATATTCATAAATGAAAATAATATTAAAAAACCATAGGTAAGAATCCTGTACAATCTGGCCGGCTAAGCCATATCACTAATTTTTATCGATATCGGTATTTTGAATGTGCTTTAAGCACTACGGTCCTTTATTTGTGTGCCATACATGAAATGTCATTTTGTTACGTATTTTATGCGACTACAGCGCCAAGACTATTGAACAAGGAACTAAGCAAATTGTGCTGTCACATCTGTAGCTTGCTACATTATACTAATCTGTGGTTGACAGTGACCAGAAAATCAGGCATCATCAGTCTCTGTGAGGTGTTTATCTCTAAAAGTGCTTATTATTTAGATTGTTATGCTTTGTATATAGCGCAAAAATGGTAGTAAACGCTCCCGATTCACCTGTACAGGCTGCAGTGATTTTTGTTATTGAAGCTACGGCCGCCAACGGTGCATACATCGGGGAACTTAAAACAAACTACATTATACCTACTTTAGAGTAAGTAGTATTGTTTTCAATAATACATTGTGTACATTTTATTAAGTTTGACTGAATTTCTTTTAAAAGAAAGTTGACACAGTATGAAAATTAACCAATCTTTAAAGCATTTAGTCAAAGTTTGACTAAGCCAATATAATAATGAAAGATTTTTTTTAAAGAAAATGTAAAAGAAACTAGCTTGTTAGTTTCAAGCAATGTGGAAAGGTGAAAACATTATTATTCCCTGGATTAGCTTTTGTCTCTGCCAACTATCAACAACATATGGAAACTTGTAGTTACTAGTTTCCGTCATGTTGTAGTGTCATTGGAACTGAATATGAGTACAGAATCGGTTCACATATGAAAACTTAGTGGTTGATTAATCATTTATTAGTTTCTTTTCTACTCATGGTGTTTTATTGTTATTTTTCAACTTTTCGTTTCAGTTCATTCTTCATTTCTCATTTATGTGCCTTATTTAAACTTGGCAGGATATAGCCAATGCCTAAAAAAATAATTTAATACTTGGGTTGAAACAACAAACAAATGAAACTTCTCATCTGTTTATTATCAATTAAAATTTTTTTTAGTTATCTAGATGCAAATAAACAGAACTTAAACAAAGGATATTATTTAGAGATATGGCAAGAGCTAAAGATAATATGACACAAAAAAAAAGTAAATAAACTAGCAATATATTATTAAAATATTTCTAAATATTTACTAAAAGCCTGTCTTTATAATATACTATAATAAAACAATAAAATGTAATAATAAATAGATACACTTGTATGTATTACAATATTTTTGTAAAATTGAATCATGCCCTACATTATGATATATTATAACCTTTTTTTATTGGACTCTTTATAATTAAATCTATGTAACACATAGAATTTCTTTTTTGTAGATATTTTCATGGTGGAGCGTTAGATGAGGGTGGTGGCAGTGGTTCCATGTATGGCTTGGTGACCTATAAATCTGCTGATTGTCACCCTGGAGTGCCAGTTTCAACTTATGGACCATTCACATGTCCACAGACTGTTGTGGAAGCTGTTGATAAAATACAGTAAGTTTGTTTTCCTTTAGGGTATGAGTATATTGTAGATTGCTGGTGTCAAACGGTCAAAGGATTTTTTTTAAATAATTATAGATGCATCCATAATACTTAAAACTTAAAATGGTATTGTTTCATTCTGGTTCAGTCATTGGGTATTGGATAAGTTGCATGCAAGCTTCAAAGTGAAGTGTTAAGAGCTATTTCAAAGGGCTTCACGCAGACTCAGAACAACAAAATTTGTGAATTACAAATTTGTATTTTTTTTTTTTCGTTTTTAAAATCGATTGAAGTGGCTTGCAATGGGAGAGGCCTATGTCCAGCAGTGTGATAGGCTGATGATGATTTTCCCCTAAAAGGGATAGAACCCACAACACTCAGCACAGTAGGAAGTGGCCCAGCTGAGCGTGTCTAACTACTACACCATTCATGCAGTCCATGTTTTGCAGGATGCTAAAAACTAATGCTAAAAAAGTTTTTTAATGTTGAGTTGCCACATTTAACAATAACCCTTTTTTATGTCAGTTTAAATAGTGATTTGTTAAAATTTTGAGAGCGTTACGGCTACCCAAACGCCTTATGACGTCCTCACTTTTTCATTTCATGAGCTTTTACAAGAAATCATTCTATAACTGTTAAATTATATATACCAAACATTAATTTTTTTCAGATATGTCGGCGGTCATGCAGAAAGCCGAGCGTGTGTGACAGAAGCTCTGACAGCAGCCCTGGCATGTTTTGATGACATTGGCCGAACAGATATACCAATTCACGTGTTACTACTGTGTTCTTCACCACCATACTCTGCTTACGCTGGTGGATTAGTACCTCCAGGTAATGCATTAATAAAAAAATAAATAAATAATATTATGTTATGTGATACATCATAAATTACTTATTTCTAAGGAAAGAAAGAAAGAAAGAAAGAAACATTTATTTGCAGAGAATACAGGTGGTACCAGATTTTATAAAGGTGTATAATGTTCAAGCTATATTCTGCCTGTACTAGGCATGCAAATATTTTTATAGAGACTCAAAACATTAACTAATGATAACTATTAACTAATAAAATTAACAAAATGTCAAAAAAATAAAATATAAATATTACATAGAAATTATTAAATTTATTGAATTATTATATCTAATTTATTAAATCTACAAATGATCATTTACATCAGTTTTGTATTGCATGAACTCTTTCATTGTATAAAAGCACTTATCAACTAGCCATTTTCTTAACTTAATTTTAAAATATTTAAATGGGAGTTCCCTAAGGCTCTTAGGAAGTTTATTAAAAACTGAAATGCACATGTGATACACATCCTTTTTAATCAAAGATGTTCTACAAAATGGAATCATTATTTTCGTAGGATCTCTTGGTCTGTATTTAGTAACATGATCCCCCTTGAATTTAAAGAAATTATTATATTTCCTAACAAATATTGATACTTCAAGAACATACATGCAGGTCAATGTCAGCAAAAGCAAAAGGAGAGGCCTATGTCCAGCAGTGGACTATTAAAGGCTGTTGATATGATGTGAAAGTAATTTATGTAGTGCTTACTACTAAAATCTTTATATTACTTTATTCTGCCTACTTTAATTGGAGACTGTGATTGTACCCGTCCAGTGGCTGAGATGCGTAAAGAAGTTTTTCTGGTTTATGAATCTCTTTTTCCACACGGTCCAGTAGCTCTTGGCAAGGAACATGGTCATAGCGCATTTTTTGTAAAACTTGTATTGTGTGATGTAGGTGCCCCAGCGACGGTGGAGCAAGCTGCCAGGTTGCTAGCAGAACGCGGTGTGCAGGTGTCAGTAGCTGCAGCGCGGCGTGTCCCTGCCTTACATGCGCTGTATGAGCACGCTGGTGGAGAACTACACCAAGCGCAACAAAGAAATTATGCCAAGGTTAGATTAAGTATAATTGACAGTATTGTGAAGATATGGACGACAAAAGAGTTGAAAATGTTTAATTGATCGTAGATTATATTATGTGATAAAATCTTTGGCCGTCCAGTTCTACAAGAGTAATTCTATGACTCAATGAGTTAAGCATTTCATTGCATTCACCAATTCTTGTCAGCAACGCGGTAGTCCTCTATACTATAAAATGAATTATTTATGGCACGACTTTTAACCTGATGTCTTTCTCTTCATACAGTTTTACTTCTTTTTAATAATTCCTAGATCTTGGCGAATTCTCAAGCACTGGATTTGGGGTTAACTTTTTAATCTTAGAGAACAATTTTGCTTACACTATTTGCAATTTTTCACCACCAGTTTTGGTATAATACAATTAGATATGGATATCCATAACTCATTTGAAGGCTTTGAGATTATGACTTCATAAATGCTATATAATAATATTTGTTTGAAATTTCGGACAGGATCCTCGTCACCTAGTACTACTTCGAGGGTACAGCCTAAAGGAGCGGCCACCCAGCCCCGCGCCGCCTCCCGTGCCGGACATACAGACTGATGTCTATGGGTAAGTCATATCGTGACGAAGCAACCACAACACTTTAAATAATCCAGGAGAACTGAACCGTGTTGTGCAGCTATAATTCAATGCACGAAATAGTTGCTGAAAATTAATGATGCTGATTAGCTGCCCAAAACTATCTGTATTCATATTATTTACGACGGGCCTGTTGGTCGTGATTGGTGACCCTGACTGTTAAGCCGGAGGCCGTGGGTTCGAAAGAGGCCGTCAAGTCACAGAACATGTTTCCACTTTTAAGTTTTGTTTATTTTAAAGTCATTATCTGCTTTTTCACACTATAAGTATACCAAGTTTTGTGTGCTCGTCTGTACTTTTAATTAGGCGTGTTGCAAATACAGTTTTTTTTAGTGTATAAGGTTTTAAATCTTAATTTTTGTTTTATAAGGCAAGGTCGGGGTGCAGGTGTGCCCGCCCGACCTGGCAACACGACGTTCCCCCGGCCGGGCGTAGCGGCCGCGACGGTGGGGCCCGTGGCGGGCGTGGGCGGCGTGGGGAACGTAGGAGTGGGCGTGGGCGTGAATGCCGCGTGCGGGCGCGGTGCCAACTGGCTCCCGCCACCACGAGCGCCGCTGTACGCGAACAACTCGGCGCTCCTGACGCAGCTGGCGCAGCCCTCCTACCCCCCGCCACCGCCCGCACATGCTACACAAGTACGACTTGCACATATTATTTTCCCTATTATATCAGCACTGTCCCTCCTCGATTATAATATAATATACCTAAAAGATAACAATGCCGTCCATATAATTTGTCAAGAAAACAACTCAAAAATGTTCATAGAAAACATTGCGTTTACAGGCTGGTCACCCACGCATGCAGGGTATGGTCGCAGGCACCTCGGCGGGTCTCCAGCGCTCCTACATTTGGTCCGGGGTCATCGAGTGGATGGAGAAGGGGAAGACCCCTGGGGATCAGCAGAAAACTACAAAACACCTGCCGTGTCAGGTATATTGGTTCTCTGGATTATATCGTCATCCTCATAACAATAATCCAATTTCTTCTTTAGAAAACTTAATACTTTATTATTCTACCACTCCCTCGATTTAATAACATTCATATGAGAACTACAATAGCGCGATTATTGTTAAAAGTGATCTCCGCGTGAAGTAACATCTTAGATTGCGTAGACTAGGTACCACTTTTTTTTAATAACATCTTGTTCAATCCCCCCTTCTACCTCAAAGAACTGTTCAAGTTGACACATGAAAAATGTCTGAGATCATCCGAGGATTGGAGGCTGGAGATGCCTCTGCATTCCAAAAAAATTGTATGACCATTATTTTACTGTCAAGCTGTGCGCTTGTTTAATGCATTGCCAATAAACATCAGGCGAGCGAAAACGATTAACAGCTTTAAGAAAATGGTTCAAGAATTTTATTATTCCTTTTCTTTTTTTTCTTTTTTTCATACTATACTTAATTAGTTATGTATATATAAATTAGTGATGTGCCGGATATCCGTATCCGTATCCGCGGATATCCAAGGGAGAAGAGAGATCCGTAACCGTATCCGTATCCGTGACTTTTTTGGCGGATCTTTCAATGCATATTACATAGATGAAATTCTATATAGGTGATTTTGTATTCACTGTAAAACTCTTAGGTATGTGTTTCTAACACTATAAACAGCAACCTTTTTTTCTGGCCAACGTCAAAATGAAAAAAAATTGGTCCTCCATTCAAATGACCAATCAAATGTTGTTAGTTTGTATGCAGAAACATTTTTTTTACTTTCGTTTTCGGTGTTAGTCCAGAAGAAAAGTTGTTGTTTATAATGTTACTAATATGCACTTCAGAGGTTTTCAGTAAATTTAAAATAACCTTGAATAATGGTTATTAGGTAGCTATGAAAAACTATTGAATTCTGTTTAGATTACTTTTTATTTCTTAAAACAAATATTTGGCACCTTTGTATTGCAATCATTTATCGTACTATACTAAAGAGCTATCTTTATAATGAGATCAATCAATCATTTTTTTCTTAGCTTATTAAAATAATGAAATATCAACGGCAAAGCGTCAAGTGGCGACAACTATCAAGGTCACGGGCTCCGATTGAGTAAGAAACTTAAGATCCGTATCCGTATCCGCGGATCTTGACACCAAATATCCGTATTCGGATCCGTATCCGCGGATATACTTTGTTAACGATCCGGCACATCACTAATATAAATATATGCATTCGTATGTATATATATTGTATATGTGTTTTATGAGTAAATATTTATTTAATTTACCTCTTTTATATTCATTAGTAATTAACCTGTCAAAACTCATTGCACCTTCAACTACTACTGTCTCTCCAAAACATTTTAATCCATCCTAAGGTTGCCTGAAAGAGATTGATCTTAGCAATAAGGCCGCCCTCTGCACATTACATTTTTTTGTACCATACTACATGTAAAACAGTGTACAAATAAAGAGTTTTCTATCTTTCTATCTACCACGTTTAACAAAAGAATATAAAATAGTAGAGTTACTGGTTACTACTTACTATTTATAGGTTCAAACCTGAAGTACGGAGACGGCTTGATATAAAAAAAAACAATGAAGTGTTCTGTTTCCATTTCGTGTTAATGTGATGTTCTATCTTGTCTATTCAATAGTCTATAGTTCCACATCGGTCAAGGATCATCAACATCTCATCCAAACTTCCACTGCTGGACATAGGCCTCGCCCCAGGTTCGTCATAACACCCGGTCGTGTGCTGACCGCATCCAACGGCTTCCTACGCACCGACTTCCAGATAACTAAAGATGTTTGTGTCTAATTTAGGTATCAGCTAGCACAAAGGATATTGAGCCGGAACTGAAAGTGGACACGTGGCCGAGTAAGTTGTTGATGCAGCTAATGCCTAAGCAGCTGATCAGCAACATCGGAGGCCAGTACCTCAAGGACAGCAAGTCTGTTCTGTTCCATCTGCAGCCCAGCGAGGCGCTCGACGCCCTCACTAAAGTCATGGTCAATGGATTCGTGAGTATACATACTTCTTTTACATATCCACCACTTGGGGTGATGGAAGTCACATTACGATGATATTAAGAACTCTAAGCATAAGAATGTAGTGATTAAAAAAGGTTTTTTGGCTTGAACATTCCTATAAATTAGTATAGAGTAAACAAGTCAAATCAGTTAAAACCTGTTTATAATATTACACTTTGTGGCATACTCACATCACTCCTCGTTCTCTGCATTCCATTTCATGTTTTGGAAAATCACAGACTCATACAAATATACATAGAAAAAAAAATACACTGAGCGGCAACCAAACCACCTCTTATTCACTCTCGTCTTTTAAATAATACTCCAACCAACCTGTCCGATGGATTCTTCTAGAAATTAAATATTCCCTATTTAAAATAACCATTACATCTTATTTATTTGTTTATAGGCTGGCTGCGTCCACTTTTCTCCGATGCCGTCCCCCCCTCAGTGCGACATCAAGGTGCTGATCCTGCTGTACACGCCCGATAAGAAGGCGTACCTCGGCTTCATACCCAACAACCAGGCCACATTCGTCGATAGACTGAGGAAGGTGAGTCCAAAATTATTTTAAGACTAGCTTGTACCCGTGACTTCGTTCGCGTGGAGTTTGAAATACGCTGCCTCAGGGCCGCCAGGTACGGGTGCACAGCGTGCACCGCACATGGGCGGAATTTTCAAGGGGGCGGCAAAAACAGACGCAAAGTACGCTTTGGAGGTCTCCTGTGTCTGATCCGCAAAGAGCCAACGCCCGGGCGCTGCCACTACGATGGCCAGAGCATGCTCATCATGGGCGTACCCACAGTGGGGTAAGGGGGGCGCTTGACCAACCCTCCACCTAGACTTACACCCTTTTTTTTATACATGCTGAGTTGAGTAAGTACTGCTCGTGGTCCAGAAGTTTTGATAACCGCTGTTCCCGGATGCCGCCCATTTCAGAGTTGCACACTTTGTGGTTTTAGTCGATTCAATTCAGACACACCGCTCCATCGCAATCCCCGGTCGGGTGACGGCCCAAGGGGGTATTTGCCTAACCAAGCTCCTTCCAGAAGCGCAGAAGCATTCATAGGCTATTGCTTGATACTATTGCTTCAAATATGATACTAGCCCGTCGAGTGGCCACTCCCTCGCATCTCAGGATTACGTGGGCGTCCGTTTCTTCTGCTTTAAGACATCTTCTGCAAAGAGGACTGTCAATCGCATTAATGATGAATAGTTGTCCTTCCAGGGCTAGGTGTCCCGCTATAGTTCGTACAACTATTCAGAAGTCTAGTCTGCTAAGACTGATCAATCTGCAAGTAAGTTGTAGTGTAGTGAGAATTCAGTCAGCACTAGTTTCGTCTGTCTGCTGCCGGATGGTTTTTTCCACTTCTAATTATGTGCTTAATGAGTATGTTGTTTAAACCAGAAGCGAAGTTGGTTAAAAGGCAGTGCCGAAAGTGTGACTAGGCCAGTTGCCGAAATTACCAAGGCCCGTTAAAATGGCCCATGGCCTTGGTAATTTCGGCAAGCGGCAAGCGTCCTTGGTAATAGCGGTAGATTTGCTGTCATTTTTTGAAGAGCTCCGTTGTCTGTCTCCAAAACTTATCATCAGATCTATATGAAATTTAAATGGGACCATTTCGGAATGTTTTCGAACAACCGACCTTTCGAACAAAAATAATAATTTTAAAAATCCGTCTACATATAACGGAGTTATACATATATAGTTATAGTACATAAAAATAAATAAACAACCGAAATGACAACCTCCTCTTTTTTTGCTGACGGTTAAAAAATAGCCTTAGTTACTCCTTATATAGGCGACTACCTTGTAGTAAAATATTATCGAAATCGGTCAAGCCGTTTAAAAGATCACCCGTAAAAAAAAACTGGTTTTTAGACATAGGTATCGTGCAAACAACCGTGTGAGCATGAAAAAACCTATTATTTTGACCTTACAAATAGACACTTCAATTTTATTTATTTATATAGATAGAGACTACTAGCACACTCAGCTACTTTTACTTAATTTTACTTACTGGCCTGTTGGCTCTTTGTCTGGATGAAATTTATTTATGGAGGTACTTAGAAGTATATATAAGTGTGGTTATCAGCAGTCTGAATACTGTAACACAAGCACTGCCTAATTTAAAATTAGACGGCCGTGTTTATGTCTCCAGTTATTATTGTTATTGAGTTGAAATCATCGATTTTTTATATTGTTGTGTTAATCAGGTAATCCAACAACAGAAGATAAGCCAGATCATCAGCAAGCAGCAGCTTCCCCCCGCGGGGAGTGCAGCGGGAGGTATGGCGCCCAACATGCCCCCTAACACCATGGCAGGTAGGTTCACCACCACCGTCCTGAACCTGACAAAGACTTGAAGACATGAAGATTGGAATGTGAAAAATGCGGATCCTATGCGAGGAGTCTGAACTATATGATAGAAAATGTACCACCATGAACTGATGTATGTGCAAAGGTTTCTTAAATACGGTTTTGACTTACGATTCAACACAGCTAAAACTATTTCTTGTAAAATTAAGAGATTTAGGTCCTATAGGAGATATATTCGGAGATTTAAGTATAAGACCCGTGTCGAATTAAGAATATACTCCGTATTCTTAATCCGTCATCACCCCTATTCATCCTGCGGGTGTCGTAAGAGCCGACTAAGGGAGCAAACTACGCAGGACAACAGCACTGTAAAGAGAAGAATACTTTGAAACTAACCGTATACCAACCCGTCTGGCCAGTGCGGTATCGTCAACAGAAAAAAGAAGAACCTCCTTAGAAAGGAGGTTTTGGCCTACTATACCACGCTGGCCAGACGTGTTGGTATAGGATTTGTGTCAAGCTTTCCTTCTTTTTAGCCGACTTCAAAAAAAGGAGGAGGTTCTCAATTCGACTGTATTTTTTTTTTTTTTTTTTTTTTTTTTGTATATTTGTTACGCGATTACTCCGGCAATTATAAACCGATTTGAATAATTCTTTTTTTATTTGGTAGGTCATACGTCAGAGGTGGTCCCATTGTCACCAGGTCAGGATCTGATGATGGGATCCTGGGGAAATCGAGGGAAACCCTCAAATTTTGTAGGCATATACACTGTTTATCAGAAATTATCTTAATCTATGTAGATTTTTGCATCTAATGGTCACCATCTGATGTTGCTGAGCTGATGATGAAGCTGATGATGAATGGTTTAGGAGTATGGGATCTCTGTAACAAAATTATGTAATACCATCGAATTTGAATGTGTTTGAGTCTAATTAATAAGGACTCCGATCCTATGTGATATTCAGGGTCTGATGATGGAGACGGTAAATAGCCATGGGAACTCTGTAATAAAATAAAGCAATTCCGCCGTGTTTGTGCTCATTTGATTCGTCTCGACTAGGAGCTTCATGCTAGTCGATATTTAACCAACATCAAAAAAGGAGGGTTTTTGATTCGACAGTATGTTTTCTTTTTGTATGTTTGATACGCGATCATTCCGCCAATTTTGACAATCGTACATTTTGTTTGTCCACGGCACCTAGGATACACGGATACGATAAACATTTTTAGAGTTGGGCTGTGAGTTTTAGCGTTTATTTATGACCTTAAAAATCACACTTACTTCCCACGAAAAATTAAAAAAAAAAAAAAATTAAAAAAAAAATTAAAACTTCAAACAACTAAAAAGCAATTTTAATTACTTACTTCAAACATTCAACAAAATTATTGATACTTAGAAAACCTACCTATTTACAATTTTTAATCAGTTATTTTTCAACAAACCAACAAATAAAAAAAATTGGTTGCCTGTAAAGTCGGTATACGGGCGAAAGTTTTACGTGACAGCGACTATGTCTGTCTCTCTCGCTCTTAGGCGGGCTAACCATGCCCGATTGGAAGGGACGCGTGCCTCTCACTCGCTCTCATTGTGAGCGCATAACGTGAGCGGAGCGTAACGCAGTTTCTTGAAGTGTCACCCGGCAAACCAATTTATAAGACGTTGTCACGTCAAAAAAAATACGCGATTACTCCGCCAATTATGAACCGATTTGAATAATAATTATTAAAGAAAACTAGGTACCTAATTGTTGGAAAGATCACGCAAAGCGTGTCATTTCTGTTAATGATTTTTCGTCGAAGGGTCGATTTAATAGCTTATTTGCATCCAAATCAGATATGGCAATGCCATTTAAGGTTTTGACGCGACTGAGGGCTACATAAATCTGTCCTTTAGCGAAATTCTTCTTTCCTAAATCGATCACTGCTTTATCAAGGGTTGTACCCCGAAGTTTGTGAACGGTTACTGCCCAGCTTAAGATGAGCGGTAACATTCTTCGTTCGACATCTCCATATCCTCTTTGCGCTCGAAATGTTGTACAAGCAGGTGAGATTGCTACACAACCGTCATTATCTTTTATTCTATGGCCAACAGTCGCGTCATCAAATTTTATAAGCACAGATTCAGGCAACTCGCCTTCCTCCAATTGATCTCTTCGGAGAGCAGGCCATTTAATTTTCTTAACAATGCCCATGGCACCATTCACGAGCCCATCAGATACGGAAATATTCCGCCTTAACATGACTCGCGATTCGATACTCAACTTTATAGTTGGCAAGAAACCACCGCAGTTATTAATGTCTTTAGGAATAACATTTTCTGGTGGCTTCCTACCATAGGTTGCCGCCTCTCGAGACTCATCTACAGCATTTATTGTGTACATGCGGTGCGCTTTCGCATTTTCAACGGTCATTCTTTCATTATATGTATCTACTTGTCTAACAGTAGGGAATATACGGACAGCAACCCCATCAGCAAAATCTCCTGACAAAGGCACGTGTCGCCGCTCACAAAGTAACTCCAACTGAGCTGTCGTTAATTCACCAACCCGCAAGCTATTTAAGAGGTCTATGAACTCAATGTCATTTCGTTGTCGCATATTTATCGTAAGTTCACAAAATGACAACTGCTGCCATAAGTTAACTTCGCCCGAAAACCATGGCGGTTGAATAAAACACCAATTTTACCGGTGGGAGTTGGAGTATATCACCAAAAAGCAATATTTGCACCCCGCCGAATAATTTGTCATTATTTTTTAACCGACTTCCAAAACACAAAAGAGGAGGTTCTCAATTCGTCTGTATTTTTATTTTTTTTATGTATGTTTGTTCCGCGATTTCTCCGTCAATTGTGGACCGATTTTCAAAATTCTTTTTGTAATCGAAAGGGTATGGTCCCGAATTGGTCCCATTACCACCAATTCAGGATCTGATAATGGAATCCTAGAGAAATCGAGGGAAACCCTCACAATTATTGGAAATTTGACAGCCCCGACAAGGTGTTTTAGCTACGAGTATTTCTTTAGCCAAACAAACCATGGCAACCGTCAGAGACTGCGCGATGTGATGCGCAGAGAACTTGCAGTATTTATGTCCCCACAGTAATTTTCGTTGTATTAAGAAGAAAAGGTTAAAATTTTGTATTCTATCTTGTTAAAATAATTCGGATAGACGTTTTGTTGCTATGGATGGCATCGCATTTCGTTTGTAAGTAATTTTATACTTAATTTATTAAAATAGTTCTGGAAAAAACTCTTAAATTTTGTGTGAGTCAACTTTCTAAGGAGAGGCCTATGTCCAGCAGTAATTTAATATAATCTAACAAACTACAGTTTGTTACTATACATTACGGTACGTAGAGTTTTAAATATCGTACTTATCTACTCATTACAAACATATCCTACACTAAAAATGGTAAAATAAACCCTTTAAAAAAAAAAGTTGAACCGACTTCAAACAACACCGACAAAGAGCACTAAAAATTAAAAAATAATTACAAATCTAAGTAAAAAACTATAATAAGTACCCTCAATGTAACAGGTAACATTATAATACCAATAGTCCCTTCTAATCTGTTTGAAGTCGGTGCCAAGCTCGATGCACAATAAGTAATACTGGTCTATGTCAGCTGTATATTAGCACAATGAAAAATGAAGAATTCAAAATAATTCTAATGAAACATCGAAGATTTTGTTAATTAATAAAGACCAACCAGATAAATTACGTGCGCAAACTTATCAACTACTTATTAAAGCATTCAAAATAATAATATAATTGGAGATGTGCGTCCACTTTAACTCGTTCAACATGTTTTGCGCAGCATGAAGACTGTTGCAGCTGCCGCGCTACATTCTACCATGCCTATCAAGCACCTATTTGGCTTGGCACCGACTTCAAACAGATTAGAAGGGACTATTGGTATTATAATGTTACCTGTTACATTGAGGGTACTTATTATAGTTTTTTACTTAGATTTGTAATTATTTTTTAATTTTTAGTGCTCTTTGTCGGTGTTGTTTGAAGTCGGTTCAACTTTTTTTTTAAAAGGGTTTTTACAGTGCTGTTGTCCTGCGTAGTTTAGCTCCCTTAATCGGCTCTTACGACACCATCGGGATGAATAGGGGTGGTGACATTCCGTATTCTTAAACCGTCACCACACGGACCAGTGCGGTACAGTAGGCCATAACCTTTCTAAGGAGAGGCCTATGTCCAGCAGTGGATTGGTGTAGGCTGTAGATTATGATGAAGACCTACTTACCGAATTTCTTTACACAGAGTCTAGATCACACGGTTCGGGGTTCCGAACTAGTTGCTCTTACATTACACTGCAAAAGGGCTAGGGGAATAGGTTATTTTACATCGCGTTACGATCCTTAAGAGCATAGCAGTAAATATAAATCCTAATGAAATTGTGAAGATCGGCAATTTTATTATTTTTATTCTATAATGTACTAGCAGTGACTAGCAGACAATTTGATACGTGCACTTGAATTCGCTTTGTTGTTTTTAAATGTTCGTCTAATCTATTTTTAAAGATGTTTACTGATCCAACAATAATAACACTTTCCGGTAAACTATTCTAAATGGTCGTAACTCGATATGGTAGAAAGTGTCTTCAATCCATCAACAGACTTTAGTAGTCCACTGCTGGTCATAGACCTCTCCCTCGGGTATGAGGTTTTGGCTTACTATACCACGCTATTCAGGCCACACATAGGGTTTGTGTCAAGTTTTAATTTTCTTATCAGTGTTCTCGTCATGCGTAGAATTCATGGTGTAGAGGTTTCCAATGTCTTTCACATTGTAGTGTCCAGTTAATGTTTTTTTTTCTGTCTTATAAGGCAATGGTGCGATGCCAACCGCTGGAATGTCGTCAGGAGGCATGGGCTCTGGAATGAGTGGGGGAATGCAGCCGGTGGCCGTCGGTAACGTGGCCAACGTTGGCGGAGTGGGCAATGTGGGACAAATGGCCGGCCCTGGGCCTAGTCAGGGCATGGTGCAGACACAAATGCAGCAACATCCGCAGGTACTGAGAAAAGTGTTTACTGGCCGGTGTTACATTATTTATCTTTACACATGAAGTTACTTGCCCTGACTGATTCGTCAATGCAAAACTAAACGGCTAAGAAAGCACGCACTATAAAAGGTTTTTGAAATTTTCACAGCTAAGAGCAAGGCCACACGATTTGTTGACGGTACGGTGCGGCGCCGCACGGTTATGAATTCGAAGTATAGAGGGTACCGGGCGGGGCGGCAACGCAACGTAAATGACTCAGTGTGTATAGGGCTACTTCAGTCTGTTAACGACTATGGAGTGAAAGAAACGTGTTTTATTACTAGTATTATCGGTACCCATCGTGTGAAAGAAAAATACTAAATAATTAACACATTAACAATACTGCTGTGGCGGCAGTCGTCACTCCGGCGCCGCAGCTGTGACATGGTATAGTTATTTGTATTTAGGATGACGAAGCTGCACCGCTCCGGCACCGTACCGCATCGTGTGGCTTCGCTCTAAGGGGGCTTAAATAAGGTATGTAAAGTGCGTCATTTTTTAAGTTAGAAACACGAAATAAGAAATAATAACGAGAGCAAAGCCATTGTGGCTTAATAATAATAATAATTTTTCAAATTTTGCTATGTCTTAACTTTGTCTTCTGCAGGGTATGATGATCGGCGGCTCAATGGGTGGCCAAGTCCAACAGGTGGGCGGCAAAGGTCCTCGGCCCGTCACCCAATTGGATGGTCTCGAGGCAGCTCGACAACAGAACCTCGAGAAGATCCAGCATCTCCAGCAGACTCTAGAGGCGGCCCACCAACAAGAGGCGCAGTTTAAATCTCAGATGGACATCATGTCACACCTGCATGCTGCACAGCAACAGGAACAGCATTATAAGCAGTTAGAGGTATATTATAAGCCTTATGTATTTTGTCAGGGGTTTGATTCCCGATCAACATAAATATTTCTTTCATGACTATCTATTCATATAAACATCATATCATATTAGTATATAAGTTCTTTGACATTTACTGTTTGACTTTGAAAAAAAAACGATGCATCTAAACAATCACAAGAAATTTGATTTTGTATTAGAATTAGAACATAATTTTAATATATTTAATATTTTCGGACAACTACAAACTAAGCAGAACTATAGTTAAACCGCCGTAAGCTTGGCCCTCCTGATGGTTTGGGGGACGCGGGGCGGGTGATGCGCTCGGCTATACATGACACGATGTACTAACTCGATATCTTCAGATTTATTTGTCTGAGATTTAACTATAGTACTATGAAAACTAGATTGGCGGCGGTTTAACTATAGTACTATGAAAACTAGATTGGCGGCGTTTTAACTATAGTACTATGAAAACTAGATTGAATGATAGAATACCTTTTTTTTGTAAATACATACATATTATACTCCTAAGATACTGGTCAATCAATCTAGTTTAGGAGATAGAGCACTTCTGAAAATGTAACTTTGATGGTTAAATAAACTTGGTTGTTTATTATACATAGAAAACACCCAAACTCCGAAACAAATATTTGCAAATCATACAAACATTTAGTCCGACCCGGGAAACGAATTTGTTCGCCAGGAATTCTTTCGGCATACGGAATACTTTTTAAAATTTATTTCTAATACCGTTGAGTAGTTAAGGCGAGAAAGCAACACATACACTAACAAATTGTATAATAATTAATACTAATGTAATTAACGTTCACACCAGGAGCAACGAAAGCACCAGCTACAGCAACAGTTGCAACAACAACTCCGTGCAACGAGCACAGCTCACCAGCCGCGCATCATGCACCCCCGGAACATATTGCCTTCCAACCCGGGCCTCAGGCACTTGCTGCAACAGGTTAGTGGAACAACTGTCTAGTTGGCATCCAAAATAATTCTAAATTATTCCTGAAAAGCACTGTACTGTCACCAGCGCAATTTTGTCGTCTCACATTGCTCAGTAAAACCCATTTTTGTATCGATGGATTCTACGTATAAGAGTCATCTGCGAAATTCTAAATTTAAAAAAAAGAGTGTCAAAGATAAATTGCTTATTACTTTTTAGTACTATTTGTTTGCTTGAAACTACGGCTTTATTAAAAACCATTTGTGTTTTTTTAAGTTTTGTGATCTGTATTGTTATAAATAACCTCAAAAATGTCACACACGGCTGTCTGATCCCAAACTATAACCCGGCAATCTCGTGCGCGACCGTCCCGCGGGGTGACAGACAGTGGCGGGGGCGAGGTAGCGCGTCATTCTAGCACACGGCTAAACACGAAGAGAAGCGTTTCCCTTCCCCGCTACACCACCCGCTACCCGCTGACATCTTGAGTACCTCGTCCCCGCCACCGTCTGTCACCCCGCAGGACGGTCGCGCACGACGTTGATGGACTATAGGCAGGGCCTTTGCTATTGTAACAAACGAACTTAAATAGTTCTTAAAACATGGATATAATATATAAATTCCACCCAGACACAGAACATATGATCGTGCTCATCAGACCTTTTTATGTAATTTGTCCGGGATATACGTAGGACTGTATACGTAGGAGCCATCGATATGTACCAATAGTTTCACATGCTTTTTTGGTTTAATTGTAAAATTTCATTTTTAGCAACTGCAAAAACAGGATTATTTTTCTTAAAATTTTATTGGAGTTCGAATATGGGTTTGTACATATTACATGTAAACTTAGTGTATGTGGGTTTCGTCTTAATCGTGCTGTTCTTAAAATTTGGCTATTGCAACAAGCTAAGTTTTATTGCTGACCCAAAAATAAATAGAAATTGTGCTACATGGATTTTTTTTAACAGCAGTGTTATAGCAAAAATAATTATTGTATACTATGTACTTGTATACATATTAGATGTGTAAATGGTAATTAACCGCGATAATATAAATAAGGTACAATATCTTTGTAAATACTGGGTCATCATCGATACCCACAGGATGAACAGGGGTGGTGACACTGTATTCTTAATCCGTCATTACAAGGAATCTGAATCAGATACTGCGTGTCGTACCCGTACCACGTTTTGATAGACGTATGGTGCCCATACGCCAACCAAAACGTCGGGTATATAATTATATAATAAATATAACTTGCCACCTGATCCCATACTAAGCTAAGTAGAGCCTGTGCTATGACCGAACTGTTAATAAAATTATTAATAATAATACTTTCACACGTATCTTGTTGATATTAGTAATTACTAGATAATACTAATTGAACTAAAGGGACCTGGGGGAAACTAATAAGAATAAACGTCGTGTCCATATAAATCCACCAGAGGATCACACTTAATAATGGGATCGCTGCGGACAAAAAATTCAAATAAATCCCCCGGGAGATTTGAGCAGGGGATCAAAATGGATACAAATCCCTAACATTCTCTAGGGGATCGGTGTGGACAAAAAATCCAAAATATATCCCCCAGGGGATTTAAGCAGGGTATCCTAGTGGACGGAGGCCTCTTTATCGACTATTAATGTTAGTTATGGAGGTCATTGCCGTCATTTTACTTCATCCTTTTTACTGAAAACAAAACTGAAATAATCTTTTAAACCCGTTCAAGAATTTTCACATTGTACATAATACTGTAAATAATAATAATAACTTTTTATATCTAAACACGGCAGTCTACTCCCAAACTAGGCAGAACCTGGTATGGTAACCAGACTGCTGATAAACAAACTTAAATATTGGTCATAGATAAGTTATACCCAGACACAGAACAAATCATCGTGCTCTTTACACAAATAATTGTCCTGGGTGGGTGGATTAGCAGTCAGATTCACTAACCAGTAACCAACAGGCCCGTCAACAAATATTATCACGGTTAAGTGCTGAATTACACATCTAATACAGGCAATGTGGCCTCTTGTTGGAGTTAGCTTACGTGACAACTGGGTCCATGTTAATTTCTATGAGAGTCAAAATTTCCGAAGACTGATTGTTCCCGAGCATGACATGTACTTAACTTAATTAGATTTTTTCAGATCATTTATAGCACTCTTCGACTAATGCTTCTTATCACTTAGCAGCTTTGTCACTAAACTAAACTATTTAGTGTAGTTGAGCAATGTTGAGCGGTATGCCACTCCGTCCAGAAACTGACCAAATATCTACTTCAAATATAACGTAATCTCTATTTTTAATCTTCATGTAATAAATAACTAATTGTATTTGAGAAGCTTACTCTTAGAAGCCTCTTAAAATATAATCAGGCTCACAATACAAAATATTTTTTATCGCATATTGAATATATGAATCGATACTAAATCACTTTGCACTAATGTGAGGGACAGTATTCTGTACTGTCGATACTGTAACCCCGCTCAACAGTGTTCACCCTGTGGCTCAGTGTCTGACCCGTGCCGGTGGTATGTTTCTAGCAGCAACAGCAGCCGCGCGGCCCGCGCCCGCACATGTGACACGTCGCCGCACACCTCGTATACCATACCACACTTGCACGCTAAGTAATGCTTCACACCTTTCTTACTAATTATGTCGTGACCGATAATACGATACCTCGTATGCTTCAAATTGACACAGGCGTTGCGATGACTGTCTTAGTTTCATATAGTTAATGTCTCGGAGACAGAATCGTAACTGGATGGGGCAACCTTACGAAGAAAAGCAAATGGATTGAGTTTTTTAATTTCTTTTATGAACTTTCAGACATGTGGCAATAAATAATAAATAAATAAATAATAATATCTTTATATACCAAAGGAGGTCTATAATTTTGTTTATACTCGTACATATTTTTCAAACTAAAGTTGAAACAGCCTTACCTGTAATAAACTTTGAAAACCTAGTAAATTGACAGCCTCATCGCTGTTTACAATCTCCCCTTGGCAGTTACATTTATTTATTTATTTTTTTATTTATTAATTAAATACCATAATGTTACGACGCAGTTCGATTAGATACGTTAAAATTAATTCTTCAGAACAAATATTTCGAGAACTTAATATTGTATTATCTGGTCAGTAGAAAGCAAACTGCTACATAGAACATGCCTAAGTCTCATATACACGTTACACAGGATTGCAGATTGTACAAAATATTATCGGTTTTAGCCATATGTTTTAACTTTGTATGAGCTCAACCTAAGTTTTATCAATTTCTAGTACGCGTTCAATTTATGAAAGAAAAATAATTTATATTCACATAACAGAAAGTGAAAATTTGTACCTGCCACTGGTATAACATATAGACATGAAATCTTGTACTAAGAGTAAATTGAACAAGCTTAGTGTTCTCCAACTGTTGGTTGTGAATGTAGCAGTTTGCGCTGAATTATAAGGCGCTCAACTATTTCCGCATTAGTAATTTTTTTACAATTATTTTCTAGGCTTAACAGTAAGCAAAGTTTCACTTAGACATCATAAATAGCTGAGTACCTCATTGCATGTATTATAATGCCAAAAGCTTGTCTATCATTTATTTCTCATGTAAATAATCCTCCAAGTATTGTAAATAACATACATAAAAAATGTTTAAACTAACAACGGAATTATTACCCACTTCCAGCCTACCAGTCTTTTATAAACTTTAAGAACAATCACTTTTAAATATGTGATCAATTATATTAAGTCAACCTATGAATTAACTATATTATAAATATTTTTTATAATTAATAAAATAAAGACATTTAATTGTTGTACAAATGCAATTCCTCGACTTATCCATCGAACTTATCGAAGTGTACCAAATAAATTTAAAATTTTGTACCTTGTACTTTAAGGTACAACAATAAAATGTACACAAACTAAATTTACCATATTATGCCATGTTTAGCAGCCACAATACAGAGCAGGGGGCGGAGCCCCGAGGCCAACGGCACAGCCCCAGCAATTTGAAGACGTCAGTAACTACACCGATTTTATTTAGATTAGAATTCAAAGAGTATTTATGTATATTATTTTTAATTGAATTTTCTTGTAATTATAATTATATTATTAAGACTTATTTTAACCGAGAAGAAAAAAAGTATCAATAAGGATTGTGTAAAAATAAAACCGAGATATATCTTTGTACAAATGTGAGTCTCTCCAATTTAATTTACCATAATGTTCAAGAATTCTGTTTGTGAAATAAATGTAAATTAGTGACTGAAATAAAACAATTTGTATGGTCGCTGGTGTAGGCATACAAAGTTTTATTACTGTTGTTATAATTGTATTATAATGAAATAAAGAAATTTCATACAATTTACACGTTCATTTCATTACCTTTATTCCAGAAACATACATGTCATGCACCTTTGCTGTAGCCTATAAAATTCAAGTCCTATTTTTTTCCTATAAAGTTCCTATTTAGCGGAACCACCGACATATCAATTACTGTACATATAGTATAAAATATTCCTATAACAATTCTATTTTGAACTACCCCAAATCCTCAATCTATATTAAATTAGTATAAGAACCTACGACACCATGTTTTCCATAGAAATGATTGCCTAAAACAGAAAAGCAGAGTCAAGTTTCTTTCATCAACTTAGTCTTTGATCGATGTGTCTGCCTTACTGTTGATGTACTCAATGTACACCCAAAACTAGAATTTAAATGTTCTCTCCTAAACGTTAATTCTGCTTCACTTAGTGACTCCATTCCAAAAATATTTGGTGCCACTGGTACTGGTCTGGTAGACTGTAAACTATTAGAAAAACAGAACGGGTAACATGAAATAAAAGTCACTATTGTAAAATATCTCCTTAAATATTAAGTATTTACTTTCGTTTAAGTATATAAAGAGTACAAACACGCTAGCAGTCTACGAGTCTACGTTAGTTTAACTTTTGGTACATATCTGGCACTATTCGTGTAGAACTAACGATATAGGTATTGTGCTCTCCCGCTCAAGTGCTACACGAGTGAGGGAGACATCCGATGCAATACAATTTATAAAGTAGCGTATTCTATGTTTGTCTATTAGAATTAGCCCAATCTGTATCCATGTCCAGTCTATGATATACGACTAAATAGTTATCTCAGAGTAGGAAGGAACGATTAAAACACTACCTGTCATCAACAGTTTAAGCATCTTACTTTGTCTCGTGTTTAGAATTAAGTGTGGGCAACTTTTTTGAAATAATTTTAAATTAATCATCATTGAAAATAACTTAAAATAATAACGATTAAAAATAAAATAATAAATTGATACACCTTACACTGTGCTATGGGAACCAAATTGCTGATAAATATAATATATAGATAAATAATACTCAAATAAAGCAAATGATTGAGCACATTAGACTATTTGCCCTGGGTGGAAATCGTACCTACGACCTCTGGCTAGCAGTCAAGATCGCTAACCACTATACTAACAGGTCTGTCGATTAGTATGAAAATTGTTTACTTTGTAATTTTTAAATATTCTGACCGATCTAGAGACACAGGCAGTTACTTAGTTGTCAATTCCTACTTTGTGAATCATATTTAAAAGGACACAATATTGGGAACCTAATTCTTCTTACATTAAAATACACATCACTTGCCTTCTAAGCTATATAATAAACAAATGCTAAATAGGTAAACAATAAGATACCCAGATACGATATAAATCGACGGAACATTATTTTAAATCAAATAAATCGAAGTCATGTTTAACAATAAATCAACACACGAAGCTTTCATGAATTTTTAATTAGTTTGATAGAAATTTAAAAGCAACTCCATGACATGTTTTTAAAAGTTGTAATTGAATCAACTGAAATTGTCTAATTAGTTATTAAAAAACGGATAAGAAACTGTATGGTGGGATAAAAAAAACTATTATATGACGTGTTAACAGTCGAAGTGGATGAAATCTTTTTACTTTTACAGACTCAGAAATGCATCGGCTCTCATTATTTTCAATTAATATTTCTATTGCTCGTAATGTCTAATATTTTTTATATAATCACCATAGGTCATCTTCATACCCTGGAATAATTCGTCAGTTCCCTTCATATTACGACGTTATTCATTTACCATAATGATTGAATGCTAATTAAATGTATTGATAATCTATGAACAAAAAAAGATTTCTTATGTTCGTGGACAGATTTTATTGAGTGGATATGCTGTTAGTAATCTGTAAATATTCAATACATTTACGTTTCATATAAATATATTACACAACTTACATCATTTAACTTAAAAATTCAATAAAGATTCGTGGGTGGACTTATTATTGTCGGTTACATAAAGTCAACTTATCACAATAATATTTTCTAAACAAACTAATTCTAAAGAACTTAGGTACAACATGTACCATCTTATTAAGTAGATGGCGAAACATACGCGAAAGCAAATTTATCAGTCAAACAGTTAAAGTGGATTGTTATCGTTCCTTTAATTTAAAACATGATTTCTCGTAGCATATCTTAATAAAGAATACTCACATTAAATGATCTAACTTATACTAACTAGCTTTATGTATATGTATGTATCATTAAATTAATTATAAACATATATAATGGAATTAAACGTATATAATTTATTAGTAATTTATATTCAGAACGATCTTATCTTGAGCGAAGTCATTTTTAAACAAAACATCACGATTATTCCTTAATAGTTCTTTCAAGTAAGTGCACGGTTGTCACTAATATAAACCTATTTACAGTATCAAATATAAAAAATAAAGAGTTACTATAGTATGTAATATAGAAATCACTAAAAAATCATAAACTCATAGTAAACCGTGATAAATATATTCAAAATAACTTTCTACAGTACTAAATACTATTTTAAAAACTAAAATAAATGAATTTGTAAGTTTTTATTTTTAAATTATTTGAGTAGAGAAAATGTTGTTTAAAAACAGAAATTAGATATAACGGTTTTATATTTTAATATAATAGTATTATTATAACTTTAAGTGTTGGTCATAGTTTCATCCTTATCGTACATTTAAATATTTTGTAATTAAATAACGAAAACTAATTACATACATCATCCAATTTCTTACTTAAATGCTTGATTTGTAATTAAGGTTCTAAATTTAAATGCAATATGATTATAAAATATAATTTTAACGAAAATGCCGATCTTATATGACACTAGTTACAAAAACATAGAACCATGAACTCTATCGCTAAAAAATAGTCTAATTTTCTTCAGTCGGATTCGTTTTTTCATGAAACCATTTATCGATGTTGCATAATTCATATTTATAGTTCTGAAGGTGGCAATTTTCTTTTTTATTTAACTATATATATTAATTTTACAAGGCGTCACCCATTTTTATTATAAATATAATGGAACAATATTTTTGAACACATAATTACTATATCAGATTAAGGATAGTGTACAAAAACATTATGAATATATAAGTATTAACATATATGTCAATACAATATAAAAAACATTGAGGTTAGTACGTCTGTTCTGCTATATTAATACAAGGACAGAAATGATTTTTCATTTTACTATACAATATTTAGTACAACTATTTTACTAGCAAACTATTAAGCTGTTGCTACGGCACCCTCGGCTTTGAAACGGGTGGCCATTTAAATTTTATCACATTTTTATATCTTAAAGATATGTGAAAAGGACATGTTCATACAAAATAAATTCGTAAAAAACTAATAGTGAATACAAAGCTAAATTTATAATTTTCAAATGACAACGACTATTTTACACATTACAGAACTCATAACACAAGTATAATTCTACACTAGAGAATTATTTTTGTGTCGCAAAGACATAATAATTGTGTCAATCACATAAATAAATTGTCCCATGTGGAAATCAAAACTTAATTTATTTCCGATTGTAGCTGCTATATATAGGAATAGCATACCTAGTACTAAGTCTATCTCGAAAGTAGATAAACTTTCCTCTACAAGATGTTGCACTGTTAATAAAATCAATTCGTAAATCATTCGTCGCTAAGCATTTACAAATTTTACGAATTTAAAAAGAAAAAATTAAGTTACTAAGTATTTCTTTTATAAACCTTTAAGGAAAAATATACGAAAATGTTTTATTTTTTGATCAATTCGTTTAACACATACCATATCAATGTTATCTTAATATAGATATAGCATTATTTTTGTTTTATATGGCCAATTTTTTTTTGTATAAAATGAAGTTGTATCCTAAGAAGCATTCGAGAAAAAGTGATAAATTGAATTATTATAGTATCGAGTATAAGCATGCTGCTATTTATTGCATACAGGTTACTATTGCATCGAACGGGACGTTTTAAAGCGTGTTAGTATGTATGTATGATCAACCTTGCATAAGCAACCGATGGGATATTGTTCTCGACAAGGCATGTATAGTGGGTGCACGTAGAGATCCCTATCTCCTTGTCTGGAGTCCTGTCTTCTTCACAACTGGTTGCCTGGCAGTGAGATACATTTTAAAATATCTTGTTAAAAAAATATCAAAAATTGTTTTAAGTTAACGAGTGTTTTTTTATGCATTATGGTCGTCCTTTGATTTCTTTTAATTTATTTAATTGAAATGGACATCAGAAGGCGTCAAATAAAATGGGAGACAGTCCATATAAATTGTACAGTTCACAGTTCGAAGGCGCTTGTCATGTATATTTCCTTGTTTAATATGTGGATAATTTTTAATAAATAAGTTTTTCGTTTGAATTCTTCTGTCCCTATTAAATAAAGTGCCTGAAATTAAACAGAATAACTTATCATTTTTGTAATGTAACGTATGCATTTTTAGTACCCAACCAGTTATTTTATTATTTTTCAATTTACATAAATTTTGTACCTCTACGATTTACGAGTTTAAGTATATGATGCTGGACTCTTTAACGCCATTAAAATAATGAGCGTATTTGTTAGATGAACTACCAAAATTCGTCCCTAAAACTTACTTTATATACCCTAAATCTTAATTAATTATAGCTTATTTTAAGCATGAGAATATAGTGTAATCTATAGCTAGATATCCCACTGCTGGGCAGGTTTGACGTATCGAGAAAATTAACATGGGTAAAGTATTTGTACAATTTGTCTATGCAAGTAATCGTGTAATGCAAATTTTAATTGCTAAAATGTTTTTATCTCACACACGGCCGCGTCTGATCCCAAACTAGGCAGAGCCTATGCTAATGTATTAAGACTGCTGATAAACATACTTATATATTTTTAAATAGATACATATTATAGATAAATTACACCTTTTGATAGTTTTATGTATCAGCAAATTGACAAATTATGGTAAAACTGCTTTGGATTTTCAAAAGTAATTAATATATTACTATAATAGGCAGGACACAGTTTAGCAAAAGCAAAGATATCTATATAAGTTCAAGTAAGTTATTCTTATCGCGGACCTGGCGTCACCGAATACCCTTAATGTTCCACATTAGGTAATAAGAATACATTTTTCAACGTTATACTACTAACCATCGAGAAAGTAGCATAACTGTAGCTACGCATTTTAGAATAGAATAAGATTATTTAGAAATTTCACTTTTCCAATATTCTCCGAATTTTTTTATACCCACAAGATATAACTTTCATTAAACTAAATGTTCTAAGTTTCTTAAGCACAAAGCTCGACGCCACTGAATGTTTACGAACGAGTCACTATAACTTGGCACTTTTTATTTATGACACTTTAGCTCTGTCACTGTCACATTTGTAACTGTCAGATTGGCCCAAACTACCGTTTTGACACTTTCCGTTGGCCACTGGCGCTAATGCTGGGGCGTTTTTACTCTTCTTCGGTACCTCATACAGCCTTTCTGTTAAAGCTCTCAGAATGCTGCCTGGTACTCTTTGGTGTTCTTCGACTAATTCTTCTATTGCTGTCGCCACCTGGGGAACAAGAAAATATGAGATTTCTTTTTCTGTTAATTTACACTGTCTCTAAGGCCTGCCGCAATACTAGGCCATATCCTACTACTGGCGATTACGGATTATGAAGTTCTAAGTGTGTAGGTTAGCTGTGTATGTCGCAATTACACTCCCTCCTCCCTCCATGTCTGTCGCTGCTAGTAAATATTGATTGATTATAATAGAACGTGAAGTTGTAAAAGTTAAATATTCTCTATAACATGTTTCATTCTCTAGACTAGCAAAAACTGACAATAATGATATGAGTAGCTGTTTCTGTTAACTACCTACATCGAAACTAAAAATAAAAGAATTAATAAGCTAATATTATAGTTATGGGAGCAAGTAAGCGTTGGTGCAATACACTACATAAACCATTCAAATAACTTTAAACAAACCTTCTTTTGAAGTTGTTCAGGTGTGAGATTGGGGTCGTACTCGATTGGCTTCCCTAAGTGCGTGATCAATTTGACGGGGAAGCCCCCATAGACCGGCGCCAGCGGTACCCTGATAGCGGCGTAGATGCGCAGCCATACGCCGCGCAGCCACCCCACCGTGCGGAAAGCTTCACGAACGTTCTGCGTGAACATCGGGATGATAGGCTGTGGATACAAATACAAAGTTGAAAGTAAAAACCTCATTTATATGGCTCTGAATGACGTCATCAGATATGTATAGAGTGCGTAACAGCACAGAAGACCTACTAAAACGTGAAGAAAAATACATAAAGTAAATGCGTACACGCAAACATGCATACACAAAGGCGCGCACACGTGATGCATGGGCTGCATGCGCATAATTTAGCTCATCAACAATTTAATTTATTTAAGGTCTAAAGATTAAAGACCGCCATTAAAGACACTAATTATACAAAAGAAAAGAAAGCCCTTTCACGCGCCGCTTAAAGGATCCGAGATCGATGAGAACACGCTTGTTGATAACGTATTTAACATTTTTAATGGTGCGACCAAGAAAAAGTTATAAATCGATTACTTCTTGTTCGAATGACTGCACCGTATGTGGTCTTTTGTTGAAATAGAACTTGACCAGATTCTCAGAACCCCACTAAGACGTGTGATTTAATTTTAAGTTAAGCGCCCGTCTTTATCCTGTATACCGCATGCTTAGCTACAAGAAGTGTTAAGTATGTTATCGATTTCAGACTCATTCCGTCAAAATTTATTGAAAACCCTCTTTCTGCTAATTTCAAAATCAAATAATACAAAAAAAATTTATTAGCAACGCAAAATGCATTGTATTTGCAGAACGAAAGGACAGCTAGTTCTTAGAAAACGTATTAAGGTAAATGCAACGGACTTACCACTTTCGCCTCCTGCGCTACTTTGGCGAATCCGATCCTGTTTCGCCAATAGAGCCGATAGCAGTGGTCCCCGAACTGAGCCTCGTACACACCGCCCGGCGAGATAGCCAGGGCGTTGCCACTACGCAACACACCCGCACACGTGCCTACCGTACCTGGGATCACGCACAGACCCTCCAGGAGTGAGGCCCAACCTGCAAATCAAAATCGGAACAATGACTTATCAGGGATTTCAGATTGTAGGAGCTGGCTCACTATATAGAAAGCAAAACTATAAGTAACGTGTTCAACCTATTATCTTTTTTCTTCCCTCTTCTTCTTTTAAATATTTTAAGTGTAATATCGAATCAAAACACAAATTATTAATGGAAATAATTCGATTTACCATCGACCGGCAGACTTTTTACGACTGTTACCCATCAGGCCTTTTTTGCTATCTATAAATAAATCCACCAACCTGGTATCTTAAACAGGAACCTATCAGCGACTGTGTGTATATGTCGCCGTTTGAACAGTAGCATCCGCGCAATAAAGTAGTACATGTCGATGGGCAGCGCGCCGTGGTAGTAGATCACCAGGAATGGACCCTCCGGGATGTTCTCCAGACCGCGGATCTCGTACCCTGGGCGAGAAAGATATCATCTATACAGTATAATTTAAGATGTTAATTTGACTACGAAAACCCTAAGGAGCGATGTACTGAAAAAAAACGCAAAATATGCAATAATAATACAACTTTGGTCATAAAACAAAATGGTTTAACCTCATAATACGCAAAGTTCTCACCATGCCATAGCCAGCCGTGTGCGTCCCAGAGCGCGCATACGGCGAGCCGAGCAGCTTGCTTCCAGTCTGGTTGTACTCCATCCACCACTTTCATCCTGAAGAGGAAAATTAAAAAGTCTAAAAAACAGTACATGTGGCATGATTCCTGAGTTGCAGGCGTTCAAAGGGCGACGGTAGACACTTTCCACCATAAAAAAAGGCCATATTTGACGGAAATATCGGTATACATACATAAAAAATAGATACAGCCCAACATAGTAAGTACCTCTTTCTGAAAGTGAATACTCGTAAATATGACAACTAACTGCCAACTTAAACGTTGGGTATTAAATACCCGGTACAAACTTTAATTTTTCCCATTATGGATTATGGTGATGTGTGCTACTACGACCTGAATGCAGATCTCCTCAACAAATACGACCGTCTTCTTAATAACTGCATTCGATTCATTTTTAATCTTCGTAAATATGATCATATTTCCTCCTTTCGTCTTAAATTAAATTGGCTCCCAATTCGTCAGCGTCGTCACCTGCGGGCACTAATGACTCTCTACACCATTCTCAACTCCCCTAACTCGCCTACATACTTGACATCCTCCTTCCAGTTCTTGTGCTCCAATCATAACAGAACCCTTCGCTCTACAAATAATCTTCTACTCTTATGCCCTGCCCACACTTCTGCGTGTGTTCATTCTTCCTTCCTCACTCAATCTGTACTTCTATGGAATGCTCTGCCCCAGGATATCAGAATGGCGACCAGTCGTAATTCATTTAGGGCGAAGGTGCGGGCTCTTCTTGACCGGAATGTAGCGGAATCATCACAAATATGATACCTTATATCTTATGGTATATATGTATGTGTATATATATAAAACAATATATATGAATATGAATGTATGTATTCTTGTATGTATGCGTTGGTATTTATATATTATTTCATTGCTTTTTGCTCAGTATTGCTATCATTACTTCTTTTATGTCCACTCTATAATTCTCAACCGCACCTCCGCACTCATTTCCACACCACCCTAAGGTAGACTGGTAGAGAATGCCTATGGCATTAAGTCCGCCATTGTACTTATGTGCATAAAGTTGATAAATAAAATAAATAAATAAATAAATATGCGTTTTATAGAATTCTTTTGTTAAAAAGATATTAATCTTTTAGTTTCTTTAATACTTTAGATAAAAAAGACGTATACATAGAGCTTGACAGAAAATATGCATTAGTTCGTTCGTTTGTAATCGTAATCAATAAAAAACAACTATGGAGCTTGCATAGTTGTTTTTTATTGATTGTTAAAAGGGCAACTAATATTTTTTTTTATAATAATAATAATAATATTATAGGTAGGTATAGAACTAGAAACATTGTAGACATAGTGACAGATACCTGTTGTTTTATAGTATTAATATTATAATATAATTAAGACGACCGGATGGCGTAGTGGTTTGTGTAACGGACTGCTATTCCAAAGGTCGCGGGTTCGATTCCCGCTCAAGTCAAACATTTGTGTGCATGAACATTTAATGTTTGATTTGGTCTGGGTGTTTCTATGTATAATAAGTATGTATTTACAAAAAAAAAAGTATATATGTATTTTTATCAGTTGTCTAGTACCCATAGTACAAGCTCTGCTTAGTTTGGAACTAGATGGCGTTGTGTGTATGTGGTAGAATATTATTATTATTATTCTCTTTATTTACTTTATATACATATTATTTACATTTTTAAATATACACTTTATAAAAAAAAATACATTTAAAAATATAAAAAATAGTAGACCACCGACATCGGGTACAGGGACCAAGACACCGGTGGTTAGGACTCCAAAGATAGGAACCTCCTCACTATACGAGCCGTGTCAAGGAGGACTGCCTTCTGCATCAGACCCTTGATCCAGCCATCCAACGTGAGCCTCTTAAGGTGTTGGTCGAGGCTCTTGGCTATCAATCCATGAGCAGATACGACTATCGGAACAATGATCACTGAATCAACATTCCACATATCGACAATCTCGTGAGATAAATCCAAATATTTAATTTGTTTTTCTTTTTCAACTTTCACGAGATTCTCGTCATGAGGAACGGCGATATCAACAATCATTGCGCGGCGCTCTAATCGATCTATCAACACAATATCAGGCTTATTGGCAACAATAGTCCTGTCTGTGATAATAGATCGATCCCAATACAACGTGGCCCGACCATTCTCGAGAACTGGGTCGGGCACATACCTATAGTATGGCACCTCTAGATTCACAAGATGGTATTTAAGGGCAAGCTGTTGGTGTACGATCCTGGCTACTTGGTTGTGCCTGTGCAAATATTCTCCGTTAGCAAGACGAGAACAACCAGAAATAATATGCCTGATTGATTCGCCAGGACGGTGGCATGCCCGACAGATGTCAACCGTACCATCTTTCAGGATATATTTCCGATAGTTATTCGTCATGATAACTTCGTCCATAATCGCACAAACAAAACCTTCAGTTTCTCCAAAGAGATCACCATGCCGTAGCCAAGTCGTAGATGCTTTTAAATCTATATCGGACCCGTTTAGGGCCCGATAAAATGACCGACCATGGAGCTCTTTGCCCTTCCATACTTCCCTGCGATCATTAACACCAAGTACTACAGGTCTGCGCCAATTCTCTTTAGCCAGAGCGAGCGGGGTGAAGCCGGTATCCACTGCAACTACATTGCGATGCACTCCCACGTCGGTATGTAGAAAATATTCTCTGAGATTGCATACCTCGCGATTATGTAGGGTCTTGATATTTAATAGACCGCGACCCCCAAGCTTTCGCGGGATATACAATCTCATAACTGATGAACGTGGGTGGTGCATTCGGGATGCAATCAGCAGTGTGCGGACTTTCCTGTCAAGGGCATCTAATTCGGTCTGAGTCCATCTAAGTATACCAAAGGAATACATTAGAACCGGCATGACCCAACCATTGCAGGCTCGCACCTTGTTGCCCCCTGATAAAAGACTTTTAAGTACTTTTTTCAAGCGGCCAAAAAAGCGTTCCTGCAATGTTTGTTTCATGTTAGATTCTGGTATTCCCAACGACTGTGATATACCCAGATACTTGTAAGTTTCAGTGGCAGACAGAGATCTGAGTTTTGTTGAATCCAAAAGCTCTATTCCTTCAGATTCAACTATCACACCCTTCTTTACATACATGACTGCACACTTGTCTACACCAAATTCCATTTTGATAGAATTACTAAAGTTTTCCGTCACCTTTAGTAACTTTGTCAATTGTAATTTGTTGGAGGCTAACAGTTTCAAATCATCCATATAAAGAAGGTGAGATATAACTTGATCATCTTTCTGCAACCTATAGCCTAACCCTGAACCCTCTAATAAAGTGCTAAGAGGGTTCAAAGCCAGACAAAACCACAAGGGACTCAGACTATCACCTTGAAATATACCCCGCTCGATCTTTATTAGTACATCGTGTATCGCTGTCTGCCGACATCCTGGATAGCGAAGTGCCGTTCTCCATTGCCCCATACATGACTTCAAGAAAGTGCACAGAGTTGTATCAATTTTATACAACTCCAGCACCTTCAAAAGCCATGTGTGTGGAACCGAGTCATAAGCCTTCTTATAATCTATCCAACACGTCGCCAAACTCTTACGATTACAACGTACCTGTTGGCTAATGGTCATGTCTATGATAAGGAGGTCTTTAGTGCCACGGGTCCCACTTCTACATCCATTCTGAGAAACTGACATAATCGAATTATTATTAATATGTAAAGTAATTTTGAGTCTCAGAATAGATGTTAGAAGTTTATACATGGTAGGTAAACATGTAATAGGTCGAAAATTTTTGGGATCCATGACACTACCAGACTTATAGAGTAAGTGGGTTATGCCAGTGGTTAAAAATTGGGGTAATGAACCCGAATCCAAAGCTGCCTGGAATTGAGATGCCAAACGCGCATGTGAGCTTCGGAACCACTTAAGCCAAAAGTTGTGCAGTCCGTCTGGACCAGGTGATTTCCAATTCGGTAATGAACGAACTGCACAACTTACATCATCTTTATCAATTTTAACAGGTTCCATAGGTGTTATAGACTCACATGAGCGTCTGACATCCTGCAACCAATCACCTTCTATATGAGTGACAGGCACCGACCAGATGTTACGCCAAAATGTATTTGTGACATTTTCATCTGGCAAATGCCTATCACCCACACATGGATCCGGTTCCTCCCATTTCCGGTACACCCACTTCTCATTTCTTTGGAACATCCGATTCTGATTATACCGATCTGTTCGTTTTTTATACCGTCTTATCCTATTTGCCCATGCATAAATTTTCTGCTTTAGAAAGTCTATGCGCTCTGTGACACATGACATGTACTGCTGAGGACTAATGGTAGTCCCCAAGAATGCCTGTTTCACAAAGCGCATCACTCTCGGCCGCATATTCCCTGATCGGTAGCTAATAAGCTTACCGATGAGTGTCCTGGTCTCAGTAATACGACGTTCAATTCTATACTGCCAAGCTGGTACAGTAGATTTAGGTCGAGTAGTAGTGACATTGTTAGCTATTTTAACACCAGCTACTCGACAAGCTGCAATAGCCGCACAATATAGAATAGAATGTGCATCACTAAGATCTTCGCTATTATCTAAATATTCAGGCAATAACGAATCCAGGGCACCCACCAGCGCTAAATTTCGTTTATGAATGGGCAAACGGAATAACCGGGGCCTATCATTGCAATTTAAATATCGGTATTCCAGAATCGCATCCTCCAAAGCACTCCTTATCCTATCATTGTATTGGGTACTTACGGATATAACTTCACTCTCCACTAGTTCATCAATATCATCAGTATATGATGCCAACTGAGGTGTGTTGTTGGCTACCGAATCCACAGTGTGTGACGAAGAAGGGATAATTAAGCTATTCCGTATGTCAGAGCGTATCCTCTCAAGTACTGCATCATCCAGCAGATGACAGCGCTGTATAGCTCGTACTTGATCCGACAATCGTTGTGCTGATACGTTGACAGCTGGTTCAAGCTCCTGAAACAAAGAGACTAGTCGAACACGGTACGCAGTAAGGTTC